GGAAAACTGATTAAAACTTGCCTTCTCATCATCATTATACAAACTGTAATTGATCAATTTAACACTGTACACCCAGCGATAATAAAAGGCTTACCACCACAGTTATTGAATTATTCAAATGTAATACCAAATGATAAATAAAATAAAATAATGTGTGACACAGTTGTTTCTGTACATGGCCAAGGTCTTCAAGCTTATTTCGTCTTTTTATTTAGGAGTTTTCTGATCTAGCATCATACCTCTGTCTTAAAGAGTTGGACTGCATACATCGTGCTTTTTAACACGTTTTTCTTAGCTTAGCTTCGCGTTTGTTTGTTTATTTGTTTGTTTGTTTGTTTGTTTATTGTTAACATTGACAACGAAAATTAGCCCACTTCTGATTGTTCTAGAGATCTGAAATTCGGCATGCAGGCTATTTTCGCCTAACAATTTCAGATACAATCATAAAAACTAGTAATTAGAGACCGAAAATACGAAATTAGTTTAATTGAGTAAAGTATATATATAGTATAAAGGTATAGAGTATGACGTGCGGGCGCTCACGTTATAGACGAGCAGGCGCTAACGCTGCGTATCATCGATACGTACGTCAAGTCATACTTAATCAAGTCTTAATCGTTTTTCTTGTGGACTAAAAAGTAGAAAATAAAATACTTAAAAAAACTTTTTAAAAAACACGTTTTTCGTGTGGACTAAAAAGTAGAAAATAAATTATGGTTCGCCCAAAAAACGTGGGTCGGGCTGTACGTTCACCATCAAATTTCCAAAATTTAAGTGTTGTGTGCTTTTCGCTTTAATCATAAATCTGCCCGACACACGTTTTTTTGGGGCGAACCATAATTTATTTTCTACTTTTTAGTCCACACGAAAAACGTGTTTTTTTAAAAGTTTTTTTAAGTATTTTATTCTAATTCCACTCTAATTCACTATATACATAATTATGAGATGTATTTATCATGATTTATTTCAGTTTGATTGTTCGATAATGACGACTTTCTTCGTCATTAGTGGCACGGAAGGGATTTTTTCTTTGCCATTAGTAGCATGGAAGAGATATTTTTTACCATTAGTGGCAGGAAATAGATGTATTTCCCGGCCATTACTAGTACGGAACGAATTTTTTCTTCGTCATTAGTGACAGAGATCAACGGGCACGAGAAATGCCATGTGACCCCTGCCATGTGTTCCCGTATTAGTAACTGAACAACCGCAAGATCACAATTTTATGGTGAAAGGAACGTAAAAAATACTTTATCGAACCAATTTACTTCCGTGAGCATTATGACGAGAAACGAGGACTTAAGAAAAGGAAGAAAATGGTGAAAAAAATGATAGGAAGTGGGGTGAAGATAAGATGAAGAGACATTGAACAAATTGAGAAAATTCTATACCATCTGACCAAATTCACGTAGATGATAAGTTGGACGGAAAATTCAAGCAATTTAACAGACTCAATAGAAAGCACGAATTATATAAAAAAATATTAAATCTTTGCATGCACTTATATTCGAAGTAGAATAACTGAATCTCTACGAAACGGGGAAAAGTGTAAACCGAAAATCCATTGCCGCTATTTTTGGGAGAAAATTCGAGTTCTCCCAAAGAAAATAAATGAAAATTCTAGTATTGAAATATAAACTTCGAAAAAAAAGATCGAGCAGCCTTGTTAAATAATGAAGATGAAAACAATTTCTAACAAATATTTCGGTTATGTTTCGATGGAAACACATTGTTTATTTCGACTGCGTCTTCGTTGTGGTACAAATGGCGATGACACACCACTCACAGATATGAGCGAGTAGTTGTCTTAAATGCGATGTTCTTTTATGGGTCATTCTGACAAAATATGGAGCATTCTCACTAAGTATGAATCGGCACAAGGGCGTATCTTTGCTACGTCCAGAAAGTGTGTCTCTATTTGAACAATGTGACGCATTCATTTTTTGAGTGACTAATAAATGTTGATAACAAATTCCACACTTAAATTCTTGACTGGTATTTTTTTATGATAATGGACGCAAATACTCCAATATTAAGCTCAATCAATAATGAGTTTAATAGGCGGACGACTACTGCTGTAGAAACTGCCGCGAATGAACTATTGGAACATAATTCTAACTTAACTTCTAGGAATTATTAATTCTTAACTTCTAACTTTTGGAGTTCTAATTTCTAAATTAACTAAACTGTCTTCTATTAAAACAAAATATTAGAATGAGAGAAGAGGGGAGAAGAGAAAAGGGGAAACAAGGAGCCCGAAAGGAGCTAAGGGAAGGGTCAGGTAATGAGGTAAACGCACATTCCGATAAGAATTTGTGCAAAGCAACGTAAGATTAAACGTCAATTGGACGTTGCTACCTATGTTCGTAGCCGTTATAAATCAACAAAATTTTGTAGAAAAAAATGGTAAACGAATTTAAAAAAAAAACATTTTTACCGTCTTCACAGTTATTGTAATCTTGGTGAAAAGGCACCAATAAAACGGGTATCATTTTCCCGTCCTTTCCAAAATCAAATAATTTTATTTAAATTTATTATTTGTCATTTTAATACAAATTATAAAATCATCTAAGTTTCAGTCTCTCAACATCGGCGATGTGAAACATTCACGCAACATCAATTAATAATTGCCAAGGAAAAATCTCATAATTATCAATTAACGAACTAGGTTAAAAAGGGACCCAATAATGAATATTATTTATTTTGGATTTCACAAAAATTTTATGCAATCTGATGAAGGAAAATAATTATAATTATTTTTTTATTATCAGAGTTTGTAAACTAACAGCAACGACCAAATGATGCCTAAAGATAATTAAGTCATAAACATGACGATTATCCATAGCTTGATTACCTTTATCAACATCAGTTTCCCAGTCATGACCTATTACATAATAACATTGTTGACCACCTAATACATAATAATAAAGTTGATCAACATATTACATAATAATATTGTTGACTCACCTATTACATAATAATATTGTTGGCTTACCTATTACACAATAATATTGTTGACCACCCATTACATGATACTAATGTTGATCAACATATTACATAATAATATTGTTGACTCACCTATTACACAATAATAAAGTTGATCAACATATTACATAATAATATTGTTGACTCACCTATTACATAATAATAATGTTGAACAACCTATTACATAATAATATTGTTGATCAACATATTACATAATAATATTGTTGACTCACCTATTACACAATAATAAAGTTGATCAACATATTACATAATAATATTGTTGACTCACCTATTACATAATAATAATGTTGAACAACCTATTACATAATAATATTGTTGACTCGCCTATTACATAATAAAATTGTTGAACCTCCTATTACGTAATAATATTTTTACCTATCTTTTGTTAAGACAAAAATGAAAAATACAATTATTATTGCATTACATAAAATATTATAAATATATATATGTACGCATTAGAATTTTTTTTGCTCCATTACCATTGAAAAATGTTGAAAAATTCTATTCTTTATTAATAGTTCATTTAAGTTATATAAGAAGGCGCACTAAACAACGTACGCAGTTGGCCCTATCTGATAGCCCAATTCCCACAGTTATTACTTCTATTATTCATTATTCTTTGCTATTGATTTACTTTTATATATATTTATATAGATCTTTGTACAGGTTTGATATCAGACCAGAGCATACTTTTTATTAAAAAAATTCTTATTGTTTTATTTCAATGAGCCGAACGAAATTTCATGTATGTGCTTGGAGATCAAAAAGCAGATTACCAAATGACATTTTACTGGAATGCGACGTTTCGAATTTATCAATATTCATTATTAAGTAAGTAAAGAGTTATTACAACGCTTAAAATTCAAATTTGGACATGACATAAATTCATTCAAAAATATTTTAGATACGGTTTAAAATCTATAATTAAATTAAGCTTAAAATAATTTTAATAATGCAGGTTTTAATTTTATGCAGGTTTCATTAAAGACCAGAGAATTTTTTTATTGACGATTTTCATATTGTTTTTTTCAACATATCGAATAATATTTTTCGTTTGCACAGGTAAATCGAAAATCAGGGTACCGATGGGTATTTTTATTTCTTTAACAACGTTTCGAATGTTTCTATCATTCATTATCAAGTTAAAAGACGCATTGAGTGATGGAATTTGGATCGACATAAGTACAAAATCATGCAAATAGGAAACTACTAAAAAAACAGAATTGGTTAGAAATAATGCCTAGTCACGAAAATATTAAGATGAACATTAATCAAAATGCCCATAATAATAATAATATATCTTAATATATAAATATACATCTGTTATATATATTTATCATATTTACATATATATCGTTTTGGCATCTTGTTTGCTTTTTCTTGACCTTTTATTTTAAATTGTATTTGATATTTTCACCCTCGTTTCATTTTCTGGCTTCCGCGTCGTTGGTTTATAATTGAACTTTGATTGTCTTAACGATTAGTTTCAGATTTTTCTTCCGTTTTGTATCTTTGATTTCCCTGAACTCGGCATTATATAAAGACATTGCTTAAGATGTAAAAATAACAATAATAATTAATATATATTATTATAACATAATAATTATATTTTGTAATTAGCACCATTAACGATTATAAACGAAAACATTTAACAATGCAAAAAAATACAAAGAAACAATATTAGAAAAAATAGAGAACGCTGACTATAAGTCATAATTTAGTTACTAAATAATCAATAATCCACACAATTGTAATTCAATAAATAATCTACATAATTTAAATTATTTAACAATATTGAGTGCGTGTGTTTGTGTGTTTTGCATGCTTGGCACCGCTGTATATTCTACGTTGAAATTTAATTCTCGCCTATTGGGCCTGTCCCCCACACTACCATAGTTCCCACACCTCCCTCCCCGACCGTGGGAAACGGCCGCCGCTTAGCAGCCGCCGGTCGCAGGCTATATAAGCCGCCGCGGCCGCACTGGCCTGTCAAATTTACGCCAGCCTTCAACCCATCAACACGCAAGGCAAGTGACTTCTTATATGTTGTTGATTTATTAATATTTGTAGTTTAAATTTAAGTCTGAATTATTGTTATTTGTTGTTGATTTTCAAATATTTCTAATAATGTTGTTAATTTTTAAATATTTTTAATAAAAAAACTAAATCTAAATTATTGTTATTTGTTGATGACTTTCAAATATTTTGAATTTAAAAAGTATGTCTAAATACTTTTTTGTTGTTATTTCGATATTTATAATTTGAAAGATAAGTTCAAATATTCATTCACATGTTGATGATTTTTAATATTTTTCATTTTAAAGGTGAGTTTGAATCGTTGTTTTATGTTGTTAATTTTAAAATATTTGTAATTTAACGACAGGTCTAAAAATTCTTTCGCACGTATTTTTTTTGCATTTGAAAAAATATATATTCTCTATAAATAGATAATCAATACTAATTACGTTGGTAGCATAGATTTATTGTCTCTGATTTTAATTCTACCAACTTTGCATACATATTTTACATACCTAAACTTGACACACCAAAACTTGACACACCTAAACTCGACACACCAAAACTTGACACACCTAAACTCGACACACCAAAACTTGACACACCTAAACTTGACACACCAAAACTTGACACACCTATACTTGACACACCTAAACTTGACACACCTAAACTTGACACACCTAAACTTTGACACACCTAATTTTGACACCTAAACTTGACACCTAAACTTGACGTACCTAAACTCGACACACCAAAACTTGACACACCTAAACTTGACACACCAAAACTTGACACACCTAAACGTGACACACTTTTATCTTGACCCACTTTATACCGTACCCAGAATGCTGAAACTTGGCTACGTGCTGCTGCTGGTGCTGGGCATCGTATCATGCTGCTCCTTACATAATGTTGTGAGTAACTAATTAACTAAATTAATTAACTTATCAATTAAATTAATTGATAATTAATGCATTACCACTTTTCTTCATTGATCAATATTAAATTAATAAATTAATTACTTTTTAATTCAATGATAACTAAATAATGCAATTGATTAATATTGCATTAAACTAATAACTAATTAATTGAATAATTCCTACGCGATTCAATCCATAATTAACACACTAATTAATTAAGCAGTTATTTATTCAATCATTATGAGATAATTTAATTATTACTAACTTAATTAATTAAAAACCATTAATCCAATAAGCTACAAATATATTAATTAAAATTAGTAATTATTTCATTTAATGACTAATTAGTTATTTTAATTATTGCTTTATGCAATTAACACCTAATTTTCACAATGCAAGCAAATAATGACTAATTTATGGATGTTGGAAGTAGTTTAATTAAAGATAGGGGATATAAGGACATTAAACATAGCAGTTGAAATTTTCTTAAGGCATATAAACCCAAACAATTTTATTTTATCATCCCTCAGTAAAAATTTGAAATAATTTGGAATATTTTTTAACGGATGCAGTTTTTCTTACAATTGAAATATTGTTTATAAAAATTATTAATAAACTTAATGGGGAAATATATTTCTTTACCGTTTAATAATAATGATTAATAAACTGAAAGGAGTATCATATGTCTGCATCTATTTTATTCGATCGTTCACAGAAATTTAACTTTTCAAAAAAATTTGCGAAAAATTTTTTCTTTATATCAAAAATATACCAAAAAATTACTTTCACTTTACTTTACCAATAAATTCACCTAAATGTGGTTAAATGATCATAAAAAATAAATTTCAAGAAAATTGTTAATTATCAAAATCAATTAACAAATAATAATTATCATAAAAAAATTTCCCTTCAGGTTCCCCGAGCTGACCTGGAGGAAGCTCCCTACTCGGTAGTTGCTACATTTGAGGTCAGTTCATCACGAGGTAATTCATGATATTTTCATGAATTCATGGTATTTTCACGAATTCATTATATTTTCACGAATTCATTATATTTTCACGAATTCATGGCATTTTCACGAATTCATGGTATTTTCACAAATTCATGGTATTTTCACGAATTCATTATATTTTCACGAATTCATGATATTTTCACGAATTCATTATATTTTCACGAATTCATGATATTTTCACGAATTCATGGTATTTTCACGAATTCATGATATTTTCACGAATTCATGGTATTTTCACGAATTCATTATATTTTCACGAATTCGTGATATTTTCACGAATTCATTATATTTTCACGAATTCATGATATTTTCACGAATTTATGACATTTTCACGAATTCGTGATATTCGTGATATTTTCATGAATTCATGATATTCATGATATATATATACGAATTCATGATATTCATGATATATTCTCGAATTCATTATATTCATGATATATTCACGGATGCATGATATACATGATACTTTCCCGAAATCTTGATATTTTCACGAATTCGTGATATTCGTGATATTTTCATGAATTCGTGATAATATCAAGAATTCATGATAATTTCACGAATTCATGAAATTTATGATATTTTCAAGAATTCAAAATACTTTCACATGATACTCATCATATTTCCATGAATTCGTGATATTCGTGTTATTTATAATATTTTCACAAATCCACATTATTTTTTTTTCACAAATTCATGCTCTTTTCAAGAATTTAGGATTTAAAGTATTTTTTCACATTATATATGATATTTTTTCGCAAATTACGTGATATTTTTTTCGCAAATTATATGATATTTTATCGGAAATTATATGATATTTTTTTCGCGATTTATACGATATTTTTCACAAATTATATATTTTTTCACAAATTATATGATATTTTTTCAAAAATTTTATGATATTTTTTCGTTAAATATACGATATTTTTTCACAAATTATATGATATTTCTTATTAAATTACATGATATTTTTGTCACAAATTATATGATATTTCTTCACAACTTATATGATATTTATCAACAAATTATTTGAAATTTTTCGCAGATTATATGATATTTCTTTGCAAATTACACGATATTTTTTCACTATTCAGACAAGATGTCCCATTTATTTACATGGGTACAATTACACTTTTCACTATTTGGACAAGATCCCCCATTTATCTTCATGATGTAAATTTTTTGTAATTTATTCTCATGATGTAACTTTTTTGTAATTAATCTTCATGATTTTTCTTGATGTAATTTATCTTCATGATGTAATTTTTTATGTATTTTATCTTCATGATTTTTTTTGATGTATTTCCCCCCCTTCCCCAGGCGGGGTACGAGGAGCGGGCGTATTAAATATTTTTTTTCCACAAATTATACGATATTTCTTCGCGAATTATATGATATTTTTTCACTATTTGGACAAGATCCCCTTTTATCTTCATGGTGTAATTTTTATGTAATTAATCTTCATGATTTTTCTTGATGTAATTGTCCCCCCCCCAGGCGGGGTACGAGGAGCGGGTGTATCCAGCCAAGGCTTGGGTGTGCACAGCCTACGTGGCGGCCGCGGAGGAGGACAAGGAGGATGAAACCTTCAATACTTTGTACCGGTACATTAACGGTACAAACGAGGCGGGTGAGTGCTGTGTACCGGTACATTAACGGTACAAACGAGGCGGGTGAGTGCAGTGTACCGGTACATTAACGGTACAAACAAGGCATGTGATTGCAGTGTACCGGTACATTAACGGTACAAACGAGGCGGGTGAGTGCAGTGTACCGGTACATTAACGGTACAAACGAGGCGGGTGAGTGCAGTGTACCGGTGCATTAACGGTACAAACGAGGAGGGTGAGCGCTGTGAACTGGTAAATAAATGGTGCCGTTATAACAAATATAATTGCTGAAAAACCGGTATAATTTTTTTACAGCTGTTATAGTACCGATCTTTTACAGCTATCTCGGTACTTTTTACAGCTGTCACGGCACCATTTTTGCAGCTGTCACGGCACCATTTTTGCAGCTGTCACTGTACCTTTTTTAAAGTTATATAAGTACTTTTCTCATAGCCATCTTGGTGCCTTTTTTACAGCCTTAATGGTACCTTTTTTACAGCTGCGGCGATACCCATGACAGCCCCTGTGACGGTTGAGGTGGTACCACAGGCTGGAGGCCTCAACAGTTACACGATGTGCTTCTTTATTGCTGAAGACCATCAGGCCAGTCCCTTGCAGCCCACCGAACAAGGGGTCTACCTCGAGAACAGACCCGAGATATCCGTCTACACCAGGTGCGATGTCCTAATCATGTGTTTTTAATATCCGCTCAGTTAGACCCCTCAATTTCCAACATATGCGATGTCCACACAAATAGACTCCAGACCCCTAGACCAGCGGGCAATGTCCATTAAATTAGACCCGAAACATCCGTCTAGACCCTAGACCGAGGGCGATATTCACTCGATTAGACCGAACACAGGTATAACGTATTTACTTTAGAGATGAACATATTATTCAATTTAATGTATATTTATAAATTATATAATATAATGTGAAAAAGTTATATGATATAATCACTATGAATAATTTATAGAATATAATCAATACCGAATACGTTGTATAATATAATCAATATGACTACGTTATATTAAATAATTAATATCACTACGTTATACAATATTATTAATATGACTACGCACTATAATATAATTAATATGAATAAGTCATATAATATAAATAAAACAACGTTTTTTAATATAATTAATATGACGAAGTTATATAATATAACAAAAACCGAATAACTCTTAGGGAGTTCACCGAGTACGCGCTGGAGGCAGGCTGGCAGCTGGAGGCTGATGAACTGCGGCAGCTGGTGGCAGCAGACGGCAACTCGGTGGTGGAAGATGACTTGTACAGGTGGCTACCCTCATACCCTCTAGTGCTACCCTCATACCCTCTAGTACTACCCTCATACCCTCGGTGCTACCCTCATACCCTCTAGTGCTACCTTCATACCCTCGGGTGCTACCCTCATACCCTCGGGTGCTACCCTCATACCCTCTAGTGCTACCCTCATACCCTCGGGTGCTACCCTCATACCCTCGTCCCTCATACCCTCGGGTGCTACCCTCATACCCTCTAGTGCTACCCTCACACCCTCGGGTGCTACCCTCATACCCTCTAGTGCTACCCTCATACCCTCTAGTGCTACCCTCATACCCTCTAGTGCTACCCTCATACCCTCTAGTGCTACCCTCATACCCTCGGGTGCTACCCTCATACCCTCTAGTGCTACTCTCATTACTCTCGAACATGATGTTATAAGTCTATTAGTCATTTAATTATATTCAATTTGTTTTTCATTTTCTGTTCATTATTTGTAAGCTCAAAAATAATATAGTTTATTTTTTATTTTTTTTTATCGCAGGATTTAAATAATAGAGGCTGGGCGGTGAAGTTATATACAAACCCCAATGGTAGTTAAAAAAACGCATTTTTAAGCCAATGTTTTAATTAATTTTAGATGATATCTATGTAATAGATAATGATGTAGAAGTTATTTGACTATTAATTATTGTTAATTAGTTATTGATTATTAATGTAATTTATTTTTCAGAGCTTCTTACCAGCCGCCGTTCCAGTTCTGGGATCGCAGGAACGAAGTTTGGCTTATCAAGGCTTGAGAAAATCACTTCGAAAATGCATAACCGGAATCAATAAAAAAATTTAATAACTAATAAAATTATACAAAATTTTAGTAATAAAAAATAAAAATTTTAATTTTTCGAAAATTAAAATTTGTAATTATAGTATTTAGTATTGAAAAAATAACAAATTAGAACATTATAAAGAAACATTTTAACGAAAAAAGTATTGTTGTTATATGTGTGGGTCAACTAAGTTATCTTCAATTATAACTTAAAGTGAATCAACAGCGTTTTAATGTAAGTGTTTTGATGAATTATTTTGTGCGAACCAAAAAAAATGAATGTTATTCCTGGGTTTAATGAATGCATAATTTTAATAAAGTATAAAATGCAATTCACGAGTTTTAATTTCCAGTAAAATATTTTTTAGCGGAAAACTTCAGCAACTCAGGTGCAAAAATTCACAAATAAAGTATGTCTTTTTATTTAATTTAACGCGAGGTAAAAAATATCCTTAAATTTTGTATAACTTTAAAAAGAAAGTAAATTTTTCAGTTTTTTGTGCATCTGGTGACAGATAAACTTGTCTCTATATCTTTTAACTGGCAACAAATAAACAAATATCTTCATTGTATTTATCTCGTAGCAGATCACAGATTAATTATCAATAATAATATTCAGCTTCATGTCATTCAGCTGACGATAAATATACTATATCTCCTTACATATTTATGAATGATAAATAGACTTTTTTGTGAGTTGTAATGATAAGCTCGAATATATACAATTTGTTTGCATTTATGAAAAGGTCGTTAAAAGTTTTCCAATGCAGGGTGAGCTTCAGGAATTTAAATCAGAATTCTGAACATTAATCAGAATTAATTAAATCATTAATCAGAAACATTTAAACGAGATTTTAAACTTTATTTTTTGGGTACGGTTCTGAAAAATGCAAAATCCCGTCAATTATAGAATATATAGAAAGCTTATAAACTAGTCAATGAGATTAAAATAATAAAACTAACTGTAAATTGTAAATTTTGGGGAACGAAATGCTAAATTTACATTCAATCGTGAATTGCGATACCGGGATATTTTGAAATTTTTTGGTACAAAACAAAATTGAGAATTGAGTGCGTTGAAACAAATGCCATAATGAACATTATTATTTTGAATTATTATTATTATGAGCCATAATGCTCAATTTTAATTTTTTTTGTACCAAAGAATTTCAAAATATCCCGGCATCGCAATTCACGATATTACATAATAAATGATATTTTAATATGTAGTAAATAGGATTAGGTAATATATTTGTTGTTTTGTTGTTTCCGAAATTTACTATTAAATGATGCAGATATTATATTAGTTGATATTATATTAATATTATATTATTATGTATCTTTAGCAAATATAATTATTTGATATAGATACATAATGTTCAATAAAAATAAATGATGCGCGTATTGTGTTGAATGATGTAGTTAAATATAGTTATGTGTTGATAGATTTGATTTTAAGCGATTTAAGGCAGTATAACTGTTGCCGCTTTGGTTGCCATAGTAACAACTGTGCGCTATCCAGTTAATCCATCCATACATTTCATCCAGGATATTTGCCTATAAAATATCGTCCAGTGGCCTCTAGGCCGTCGTAGTGAGTGGATATGTGCTGCTCCTGTCTACCACTCCATGTGTGAAGGCAGTTTTCATTAAATGTATACAGTTTATTAATAACAGGGTTATTAGTATTTATTTCCATTGAAATTATATAACACCGCTTTTTGTGAAGAATATAAAATTAGATTTAATTAGAATACTGACGCCGGAGAAAGTGTTTGATATTCTCTAAAGATCATAGATCGCTTTATTTAAACACAAACGTCCATTAATTTTGCGTAAAATTTATGGTGTATTTTGAATGAAATTCACGTCTGAATTCAGAATGAAATTCGTGTATCCACGTACAAAACTTTAAAGATATATGGAGAGATGAACTTATTCAGGAATGTTCAGAAATTTAGACCTATGTATTTTTCATTGATATTAGCTACATAATTTCAGTTATGAATCATGTCATGAATTTCAGTCATCATTAAAATTTAGTCAGGAATATACGTATAAATATAGTTATGACTTGATAATACAATTTGTCATGAATTCACGCCTAAAATATGACTTATTCATGAATTCGACAAAATTCATGAATTTTCGTTTCCCAATTTCTCCTTTTATCATAGAAATAAATAAATAATCATTTCTGAAAAAATAAAACTGGAAAAAATTTAATGATGAATAGTGTGATGCTAGGAAATTTAGTGCTGGAATATCTAATGCTGAAATGTGCAATTCCGAAAAATGTAATGCTGAAAACTCCGATGTTTATAAATATAATTATGAAAAATATAAGGATGAAAAATATAAGGATGAAAAGTAAAATGCTGAAAAATGTGATGTTGAAAATATTATAATACTGAAATTTTTTTATGCTGGAATCGTTATTAAATCTCTTATTGATATAGTAATATTGCTATTATATCACAATGCATGAATTTAAACAACTAGTCAAGTCTACAATATTTCTTTTTGTGTAATATTATTCAAAATAATTCAGAGCAGAATAGTTATAGCTAACAGTCTGCGTGTAATATTATTCAGGATAATTCAGAACTGAATAGTTATAACTAACAGTTTAGGTGTAATATTATTCATGATATTCAGAGCAGATTAATTATAGTTAACAATTTATGTATAATATTATTCAGGATATTCAGAACAGAATAGTTATAGTTAACAGTCTATGTGTAATATTATTCAGGATAATTCAGAGCAGAATAGTTATAGTTAAAAGTTTATGTGTAATATTATTCAGGATAATTCAGAGCAGATACCAAGGCTGATGTTAGTCAAGGCCAAGGCTGAAGTTAGTCAAGGACAGGGCTGAAGTCAGTCAAGGTCAAGGCTGATGTTAGTCAAGACCAAGGCTGATGTTAGTCAAGACCAAGGCTGATGTTAGTCAAGGCCAAGGCTGAAGTTAGTCAAGACCAAGGCTGAAGTTAGTCAAGACCAAGGCTGAAGCCAGTCAAGGCCATGGCTATAGTCAGTCAAAAAGAAGACTGAAGTCAGTCAAAACCAAGGCTAAATTCAAAACTAAATTCAGGATTAGATTTAAAACTAAATTCAATCTTTAATTCATAAATAATGACTACTGCTCTGACTGAGTTCAAAATTGAATTTTTACTTAATTTTATTCATTATTTCCCAGCCTATTTCATATTTTAAGATTTATTACTTATTTCGAGTTCATTTATTATATACGCAGCATTGCACGTATTTTAATGGGGAAAGTATCTAACATTTCTATTCATAATTAATTCACAACGTGAAGAAGTCAAATTTGGTAAAATATTCATATCTCGGATAATTAATTCACAATTTAATTTATTAGCATAAGTTAACCATGATATGAAAAAGTCTATTTAAATCACATTGCAATTGATTTAATTCATCACCCCGAGTAATGATGTGATTAAATCATCTGAGGCTCTTGGTGATTAAACTAGAGTCGTTAGGGGTGATTATTCAGAAGTCAACTGCACAAATGAATTCAATTCATCATTCATTTTCTTCTCACGTGTTGAAATAATCATGTACGAGTTTAATATATAAATCATTATACAGCCTGAAATCTTCAGAAATAGCTATTTAATAAATTAATTTAAAAGATGAAGTAATGATTTAGTTAAATAATAATATATTAACGAAAGGAAATTATAGGTAAAAGATTAATATAAATTAATGATGGAAAAAATATGATTGGAAATCAACTAGAAATTTCTTGTCATAAAAAATGCAGTCAAATTAAATTCCGATAATTATTTAATTTTAGTTCTAAATTAAAGATCATTTCTGTCAAGTTGTTTGTGATTGTTTATTTATGTTTGATAATTAGCCAAGTATAATTATAAAGTAAAATAATATTTAATAATATAATGTTGACTATAAATTTGATTATATCTAATGCTTCAGTTATCAATACTGAATAGGTTTTGGTATATCAAAATGATATTGAAAAATTTGCAAATATTTAATTAACATTAATTTTTTTTCGTAAATGTTATATTTATTAATGAAGCTGTTTTCACATAGTGACTTGAATTTTAAATTACATTTGTCAAAACAATTTTTAGTTTAGATCAATTATAGTTCGTTAATTATTAATCTATATTTAAACTAACTAAACTATGATATAATAATAATAATAATAGCGGTTTCAGCGTTAGTAGGCCGTAGGCCTGTCGCCGATTCTTAACATCGCAGAACATTCACAGCTTGTTGCGGTCTCGAACTCGCAGCTCACTGCTTCAATTTTTGCTGTGCTTAACCGCCCGGCCTCCTCGCCGATTCTGACCAGAAACTGGCGCACAGAGCTGGAATCGAACCCGCGCCTCTCTGCTCCAATCCTGATACTCTGAACTTTAACCACTTTAACCATATATATATTTATATTGGTAAACAAATTAAGATTTAATGGAATACAGTTTCTACTTTTGAAATAAAACGGGTGAATAATTTTTTTCTTCGGTACAGAAAAAGGTTATCCATATTTATTCATCATAAAAAGATGAACTTAAGTACGACTTTGCTCCCATTTACTCCGATTTTAGACACATCATATTTTATCAACCCTAAAGTACCCCTTGTAAGTGCGGACACATTTTCTTTGAACTCTAGATTAAACAAAAGTCTATGGAATATTTCCGTAACATCTAGAAATCATGAAACAAAATATCCCCGGAATTTCAACATGAGTTTCAAAAACCCAGGTTTTGAAATAGCAATAAGAAGATTCGATGAGTGGTTTGAAAAATTGAATGCTAGGACTGCGTCAACTATTGAAAGATATCATCAAAAAATGAATAATTACGAAACTGTCAGAAATGATGACAGATTTACCGTTACAAAACCCGATTTTATGTTTAGAAATGGAAATGAAAAACGCCTTGACCAAGTTTTACATCCAACAAAAAATTCTTCAAAACATAGCAATCGAAAAAATTCAACGTTCAGTGTCTTTTCAAACCCAGTTCAGAAACAAAATTTTTTGACAGCTGCCTTACAAACCTACGAAAAAAATCACAATCCTCTCACAGGAAACGGAAACGGACTCTCTTCAACAACAGTAGAAAAAGTATCAGTTGATATTTCAACAGAAAAACACGATGAATATTTTTCAGAAGTTAATGGGAAAGACTACAACATCCCTGGAACTCGAAAATTTTTTTCTACTGAGGAACTACACGAAAAAAAAATTTCGCACGCCAATTCCAGGGGCGTGTTTGGCACCTCAAATTTTACAGGAGACGAAATTTTTTCAGAAAATGATGGAGCTTTCGAAACCGAATCTGCAAACATGATTTCCCCAAACACGACAGGTTCATCATCAATATCATCTTTATCAAACATGTCATCAAACTCTAACTCCACCGGGCGCCTGACTCAAACATTTTATTCGGTAAGCATTGCTACAATTACGTTAGCAAGTTATATAATGCTTCGTTCTTCATAACAATTGTAGTTTAATTATGAGAAGTATTAATCGCATTGATTTAAAAAATTGTCATTAATCGACATATTTGATAAACTCATTATATGAGTTTAAAGCCTTAATTTACTGAACAATTTCTCCAAAAACTGACCGAGAAAACATGAGAAGAATAAATAAAGATAATCCGAAAATTCGACGAGATTATGACATAATAATATACTGAATATAAGAATGCTTTCGAACTCATTATAGAGAGTAGATGAATTTCTGAGGCGAACGTTCCATTAACTGAAATTTTTTGACAAAGCGATAGCTGGCTAAAGCCATAGCCGGCTAAAGCCATATAGATGGCTAAAGCAATATATGGCTAAAACCATACCTGGCTAAAGTCATAGCTGGCTATTGCTGGCCAAAGCCACAGCTGGCTTAAGCCATTTGTCGGTTAATCAAAGAAACCTTAAATATTCAACGAGGAATTAATTAGATTTAACACGGAAGCTTAATCTTTATTTAAACACCCAAGGTTTTGAGTTCGATTTCCTGGATGGATAATTAATAGGCTGTCCTTATTGTGTGACCGCCAGAGCTGTCCTTATTGCCTGACCGCCTGAGCTGTCCTTAATGTGTGACCGCCTGAGCTGTCCTTATTGCCTGACCGCCTGAGCTGTCCTTATTGTGTGACCGCCTGAGCTATCCTTATTGTGTGACCGCCTGAGCTGTCCTTATTGTGTGACTGCCTGAGCTGTCCTTATTGTGTGACCGCCTGAGCTGTCCTTATTGCCTGACCGCCTGAGCTGTCCTTATTGTGTGACCGCCTGAGCTGTCCTTATTGTGTGACCGCCTGAGCTGTCCTTATTGTGTGACCGCCTGAGCTGTCCTTATTTGCTGACTGCCTTAAAAGGTCAAATTATTCCTGGCCTTAAGGGCAGGTTGCCTTGCCCCAGGTAAAGGCCATTGCCTTCGTGTCTATCGCATCTGGGTCGTTCCATTTTAATTTGATTGATTTGATTTATTTGATTGATTTTTTTTATTTGATTTTTATTTATTTATTCACAAAGGAGCACACGTTACAATGAAATATATGTTACGAAATGTCTGAATAGACATTGTCTATTCAGATATTCGGATTTACTCAATGTCTGATTAGAATGCATAATACATGGAAACATATTACGTTAAGTTATATATAAAATTATCTTGCATAAAATAAATATATTTATTTGTAAAGTAATTTTCAAAAATATTTTATGTACAAAAATGCCAGAAATAAATTACAATAATTAATATAGAAGTAATTTTACGTAAATATGATTGGGATTATCGAGATGCAACCGCATGGTTATTTCAATGACAATAATCTCATGTGTTGGCGATGAATTTTTTTAGAGATAAGTTTTCAAGGAGAAATTTTAATTTAATCTCGAGATTAAGTTATTCATAAAGTTATTCATTGTTCAATATTACATGGATGAATAATCGAAAATAATTAAGACCCTGACTTTCGTAATAAATGAGATATATATTTTATAAATTCTTGTATTTTATTTATTGGAATAATAAAAATAAAAATTATCATTCAGATCAAAGCATCATTATTTTGTGTTATTTTTCGTCACTAATATTTCTTCAGTATTATTAGTTTAATATTTTAGTATTTGATTTACGTTTTTATAAGTTTAAATAAAATGAAATTAGGGAGGATTTTGATTTAGGTAGAGTATTGGCACTGCAGGCTATCCGTATTTTAGGAGGCCAATCAGGACGAACAAGGAGAAGGATTGGCCCAAGGAGTTGGTATATGGTTTTTAAAAATTTAAAAAATAGGATAAAATCTATAAGGATCTGTAGAATTGGATAATGCGTGATAGGATTTGTGAATATATTCTTGTGAATATTACATTATTATTATTGATTCATTATTATTGTATTATTACAAATGTTGTATATATATAAAAATTAAGAAAATGACTTACACATTTGTAACTTACACTTAATTACCTAAGTGTTAAATGTAGATGATTGATTTATATCATTTAAAATAATTTATTCATAATTATAAATTTTATTATTAAAAATTTTTTACTTGGAAATAGTTCTTCGCATTGATTTATATCATTTAAAATAATTTATTTATAATTATAAATTTTATAAATTTATCAACTTTTTAACAGATGGTTGGATTGCTGGTGACGCTGCTCCACATTCTGCTACAGCTGGTCGCAGCAGGTGGCAACACAAGCGTTGCTATAGCCATCTGTCGGCGTCGAAATTCAGCTTTTCACGCTTTAAGACATTCACTTCTACTTAACCTTTCAATTTCTGACATTTTCACCGCGATTTTTTGTATACCTATTACCGTAGATTATTATTCTTTACTCTATAATATACCCATACCTATGCCTATTTGCACGGCTATAGGCCTATTGCAAGGAACTTTGCACATGATATCGAATATTTCTTTGAGTATGATTGCAATAGACAGATATTTAACGCTTAAAAAACCTAAGCTTGCATCAAAAATATCGCGTTACTCAGTTCACTTAATATTAGGAATCTGGGTACTTGGAATTTTGATATCAATACCTAGAATATTTCATAAGTATCCACTTACTCATCAATGTTATAATATAGCCTCTGATGATAATAATGTTATAAGCGATGATATTAACAATATTTTTGTGAGAAACTGTGTTATATACAAAAATGAAAATAATATTACCAAATGGAATGATACCGAGAATATTAAAAATAAATTAAATAATCTCTTCACTTCCAAATCAAACAACATAACTATTGATGAAAATATAAGGAATAATAACGGTAACAAATACATCAACACACATAAAAATAAGGTGGTAGTAGCGTGCTACTACGTGCTGACAGCCGTGGTGGGGGTGTGGCTGCCGTGTGGTGTAGTGACCGCGTGTAACGTCAAAGTGGCGGCCACTTTGAGTGGCCAGCGCCGGGATAGTGGCAAGCGACAGCGTCGCTCTAAACAGGTGCTGCATCTAGTGACGGATGGGTGTTAATTATTGTAATTTAGAGCATCTAGTGATATATGGTTTTATTTGAAGTTATTTTTAGCATCTAGTAACGGATGGTTGTTAATTATTGTTATTTTTAGCATCTATAGTGACGCATGGTTTTTATTTAAAGGTATTTTTAGCATCTAGTGACGTATGGTATTTTTTTTAAGGTTAATTCAGCATTTAGTGACATATGCATGGTTGTTATTTGAAGTGATTTCTAGCATCTAGTGATATATGATTGTTATTAAAAGTTTTTTAGCATCTAGTGACGTATGGTTGTTATTTATAGTTATATTTAGCATCTAGTGACGGATGGCTGCCATTTTATGCAATTTGTAGCGTCTAGTGACGTATAGTGGATATTTAACGTAATTTTGTGCATCTAGTGACATAGGGGTGTTGCTTGATGTAACTTGACGTGTCCAGTGACGTATAGGTTGTTATTTGCTGATATTGTAGCGCCTAGTCACGTATGGTTGTTACTTATTGTAACTAGGTGCATCCAGTGACGTATGATTGTTAATTATTGTAACCAGTAGCATCGAGGGACCTAAGATTGTTATTTCACTTGATGCACCTTGGGACACATGGTTGTTATTTATTAGCATTGTTAACGTCTAGTGACACATGGTTGTTAGTTAATGTAACCTGGTGCATCTGGTAACGTGTGGTTGTTCCTTATTGTAACTTGGTGCATCCAGTGACGTAACTTGTAGCCTCTAGTGGCTTATGATTGAAACTTATTACAACCACGGAAAACATTTACTCTTGATATATACTTTGAATTACTATAATTATATGGGTTTATATTGTCGTTTATATATATGTCTGTATATTATTCATTGTCTATTTTTATTGTCGTTTATCTCTCATGAAGACCAATTTTTTTGTGTCAGCCTAGCACACTGTGGTTAGAGAACCAATAAAGTCGACAAGACTGGAAAGATTAAGATTGGCACTTTAAAAATTAACGTGCTATATATATTGATGTAAACATTTTTTAAATTAAAGCTTATCTATTTCAACAGGTGATCATCATGGCGAAAACAGCTGGTGCAAAACGTGGTGTTAAATACGAGGCATCGGTGAGCAGTTTGGATCCTATGGGGCGAATGGATGCAGCAAATGCACACATGGCTGCCGATAACATGTTAAACTCGTCACTAAACGTCTGCAATGGAGGAAAACGAAGGAAAATAAAACAAACTTCATTCATGCCTAGAAAAAACATGCAAATTTCATTGAGGCCTGCTCGAAATATACAGAAAATAATACACGCGCAACGTAAAATGCGCGTAAAATCTTCAGCACGAGATGTGGCACTCACGCGGTCGCCCGCTGAGATTCGGCAACGTCTTGCAAGGTCGCTATTGGCTCTCGTCGTGATATTCGTCGTCTGCTGGATGCCTTACAGCCTCTCATTGGTTGTTTGGAGTTGCCACGCCAGCCAATGGACGACGGCCACGTTAAAAGTTACCTTATTTCTGGCCTATTTCCACACTGCCTTGAACCCGGTTGTTTACTGGCTAATGACCCAAACTTTTAAGGAATGTTTGCAGAATGTAATAAACTTTTTCAGCTTTTGTAGTTGTGTACATGCGTGTAATAGGTGTTCATGCGATTTTACAGGAGAAAACAACTCTAAATCTTGGTTTTACAGTGATTCTTCAACAAATGAAGATAACCTAGGCCCTTTCCACCCTAGATACACTAGGCCTAAGCTAATCAGACCTCAGGTATCCCGGTATACGTCGCATTACTTCCACTGATGTATTTTCTTCTACCTTCATATTCTTTTATCTTGCTGATTGGAAAGATTGTCCTCAATTCATATCATTTCAGATAAAAGTTAGTTATTATACCCAAAGCAAGGCAGGATTACAGTGTTTACAGTTCAGGATTACCGGGACTGGAGCAGAGAGGTGCGGGTTTGATCCCAGCTACCTGCGATACTTTTGGTCAGAATCGGCAAGGAGGCCGGGCGGTTAAGCCACGCAGAATTGGAGCAGTGAGTTGCGTGTTCGAGACCGCAACAAGCTGAGAATGTTCTGCGATGTTAAGAATCGGCGACAGGCCTGCGACGTAATCAACGCTGAAACCGCTGTTACTCTTACTTAAGCTTTATTAGTGAAAACTGAGATAAATTTAAAGTTAAATAATATTTTAGCTCTGCTGTTGGTATCTTTAATTGTTTAGTTCAAGTGTTACATACTTTTGACGTAATACAATACAATCAAAAAATGAGGTAAATGTCAGTAAAGCATATAGTTTTCTCAGTCGAACTATCATTAACATAATATAATAATAATATAATAGCGGTTTCAGCGTTGTTAGGCCGTAGGCCTGTCGCCGATTCTTAACATCGCAGAACATTCACAGCATTTTGCGGTCTCGAACTCGCAACTCACGGCAACAATTCTGCTGTGCTTAACCGCCCGGCCTCCTCGCCGATTCTGACCGGAAACTGACGCACAGAGCTGGGATCGAACCCGCGCCTCTCTGCGCCAATCTTGGTACTCTGAACTGTAACCACTGGGCCACCCTGCCACCCTGCCTAGGCAACATCAAAGCTAATATCTTTACCAACAGCACCACCAGAAAGGTCACCAATATTAATATCACCACCCAGTAGTATCACCAGCGTTAACATCGTGATCACTATACATCATGACCAGCATTTATATTACCACCAACGATATTATCAGTAGCATCATCATCAGTAACATCACTACCAATAACATCAACATCACTAGTATCATCATCAGTAACATTATCAGCATTAACATCGCGATCAACGACATCAACATCACTAGCATCATCACCAGCATTAACATCATCACCAACAACATCAACATCACCAACATCATCACCAGCATTAACATCACCACCAATAACATCAACATCACTAGCATCATCACCAGCATTAACATCATCACCAACAACATCAACATCACTAGTATCATCACCAGCATTAACATCACCACCAAGAGCATCAACATCACTAGCATCATCATCAGCATTAACATCACCAGCAACAACATCAACATCACTAGCATCATCACCAGCATTAACATCACCACCAAGAGCATCAACATCACTAGCATCATCACCAGCATTAACATCACCAGCATTAACATCAACATCACCAGTATCACCACCAGCATTAACATCACCACCAATAACATCAACATCACTAGCATTAACATCATCATCAACAACATCAACATCACCAGCATCATCACCAGCATTAACATAACCACCAATAACATCAACATCACTAGTATCATCACCAGCATCAACATCACTAGCATCACCCCAATAACATCACCACCTCGGATGTTGCGTATGTTCCGTAGGCATCAGCTTTCTCAAGCACGTCAATTAGATCATTAATTTTTATACTTATCTTTTAATTATTTTTATCTGTTAATTATAATTACTAAGTATTTAAGTCCAAGACCTGAAGGGGTAAAGATTATAAATGCATTTAATTCTTTTTAAATATATTTAGTAAATTGCGCGCGTGAATATATATTTATTACCCTTCTATATTTGGAACATATTTATTTAAAATTACGAACAAAAGCATATTTGCCGTTCAATATACAATAAAATATATATTTGGAACTGGGTCTTTTTAAATTCAATATATAATAAAAAATTTTAAATAAATTAGAATTAAAAAATTAATACAAAATATTTAACACAAGAAACTAAACAAAAAACTATTTTTTTCAATTACTTATGTGCGTCACTGCACGAATTATTGTTAATAATTGTTAATTATTTAATTATAATTTTACGATAAAAATTGTGAAATAAATGTACAATTTACAACTTTTTTCAGATTTTTCAAATATTTCTGCTATGTATTTTTCGATAATTTTTGGCCATATGAATATTTACATAATAATATGATTTTACAAATAATAATTACATTAATATTTGCCTAACATCATCATAAACATCATCAAAAACATTACATTAACTGCACTTTAAGATTAGATGTTATCTTTCAACAATAAATATGAAAAACCTGTATAAATTTGAACATATTTTGTATGTCATCAAAATTCTCTAGAAAACTTTTTACAATTCAAAAACAGTGTCCAATAAAATAAAAATTTATATAAGTTACTTATCATTATTCTAATCAACTATCATTCTTGACTGCAGTAGCCTCATTAGAAATTATGAAAACGATGAGCTATCGAAATATGTTAAATAATGAGAAAATTAGAAAAAATATTATAAATAATATATTAAGAAGAAAAATGATGGAAAAATAGAAATGTATGATAAAATATCAATAAATGTAAATAAACAATTTATCTGTTATTTATAAAGTTACTGAAGAGAAAAACTGCTAAACATTCTTTCCTAATTTCCACAATATCGCTTCAAAGTATTTTGAATTTAGTCAAAACAATATAAGTTTATTGAAAAATAGCACGTAATTGCCGAAATTTTGGTCTATATATTAGTTACATACAATAATATTTTGACACTAAATAGACTAAACTTATTCAAATATTCCTTCGGCGTTGTTTTTAGGCCCAAATCTGCAAAGGAAAATGAAAGTAATTAACGATTAGAATGGTCGAAGTAAATCATTGATTAACATTTAATGGTATAAATAATTTGTGAAAATATGCTTTATTAGCAGAAGATACTAGTTAATTATATAAGGTGAGTATTTTTCACAGACATAAAAAATTAATTTATCTTTATCTAAATTGGACGAACCAACAATTTAAAATTTTGAAAAAAAATCATTATCAAATCAACAAATTCACGCTAGAAGGAGGGTGAAAAAATGCAAAAAATGCGCGAAGGAAATTCAGTGGAGAATTTTTTTATAGTAAAAAAAATCTGCATAGGTATCCCAGTAAGGGAAACCAACTATTATGACCCACAAAAAAGTTCAGGTAATAAAAATTCAGTATAAAAAGTTTCCCTGTAAAAAATATTTCAAAATCTGATAGTAAAACGAATGAAAAGTTATTAAAACTAGCTAGCAAAAAATATAAATTTATATTTTTCATTCTACGAAACCACGACTGGAACAACGTTGAACCCTTAACCCTGTACCCTTAGGGGTACAGGGGGTTAACCCCCTGTACCCCTAACCCCTTAATTATAGGGGTTAAGACCCCCCTTAGGGTTAACCCATACAACCACCTGGTAGTAGGGGTTAATAACCTAAGGGTTATAGGGGTTATAACCGTTAACCCTTAACCCTTACTAACCCCCCCCCCCTGTTGCAGGAGTTAACACCCCCCTCCTAAGGGTTAACCCCTACAACACCCCCTGGTATTAGGGGTTAATAACCTAGGGGTTATAGGGGTTAAAAACCTTAACCCTTAACCCTTACTAACCCCCCCCCCCTGTTGCAGGAGTTAACACCCCCCTCCTAAGGGTTAACCCCTACAACCCCCCCCCTGGGTGTAGGGGTTTACCTAGGGGTTGTAGGGGTTAAAACCCTTAACCCTTAACCCTTACTAACCCCCCCCCCCCTGTTGCAGGAGTTAACACCCACCCCCCTAAGGGTTAACCCCTACAACCCCCCTGGTAGTAGGGGTTATAGGGGTTAAAACCCTTAACCCTTAACCCTACTAACCCTTAATGTGAAGTCCCACGACCCTGTAGAGATGGCCGTGCCGTCGGGTGACATCTTGAGACACGACACACGGTTCTCGTGACCGTATAACACGGTTAACCGCTGGCACTTGAGCGTGTCCCAGACGTTGACCGTATAGTCGTTGTAGCCGGCGAACAGCAACCGGCCTGCGGTTGAAATACGGGTGTTATAACACACGGTATAGGTTGAAATACGGTGTTATAACACACGGTATAGGTTGAAATACGGTGTTATAACACACGGTATAGGTTGAAATACGGCGTGGTAGCATACGGTACAGGTTGAAATACGGCGTGATATTTGGTATCATACGGTACAGGTTGAAATACGGCGTGGTATCATACGGTACAAGTTGAAATACGGCGTGGTATCATACGGTACAGGTTGAAATACCGCACGGTATAATACGGTACAGGTTGAAATACGGCGTGGTATTATACGGTATACAGGTTGATATACGGCGTGGTATCACACGGTACAGGTTGAAATACGGCGTGATATCATACGGTACAGGTTGAAATACGGCGTGATATCATACGGTACAGGTTGAAAAACAACGTGGTAGCATACGGTACAGGTTGAAATCTAGGCTTACGAACCAAAAAATATATTAGGTCTATGCCTCAAATCTTCTACTAATTGACAAATAAGACCAACATGTAAATTTTTGAAATTTAGATTCACATATGTTGTAAAATAGTTTAATTAGGAGGAGAAATTAAAAGAATCTTCGATAAATTTCAACAATCAGAGAAATAATGAAATCATAAGATAAATAATAAAATCATAAGATAAATAATAAAATCATAAGATGAATAATAAAATTACAAGATAAATAATAGTATTATAAAATGAATAATAAAATCATATGATAAATAATAAAATCATAAGACAAATAATAAAATCACAAGATAAATAATAAAATCAAAAGACGAATAACAAAATCATAAGACAAATAATTAAATCATAAGACAATTAATAACATGATAATTGTAATAACCGTATAATTATAAGCGTTCTCACCGCTAACAGAAAAGTCCACGGCGTTGACGCCGAAGATGATGCTCTCCTTGGTGTAGAGCGCCACCTCCCTGTCTGCCCTCAGGTCGAACAGCCGACACTAGAAATGTGCAACGCGATGTAATGTGTAACGTGATGCAGTGTAATGTGTAACGTGGTGGATAAATGTATGCATAACGTTAAGATGAAAGTGATATCACACTGATTAGTGTATGGATATATAGCATTTACGCTATATTAGGGACATAATATACACGACACACAACCTACAAAAATGGCACACACAGCCCACAACACAAACGATAAGCCATACAAGAAACAATAAACAAAGCACACAACATATACAAAACATAACACATATCACACAGGCCTAACGTCTTAGGAAAAATGAGTGAACGTTCTTTGCCGTCCACGGTCACGCTGATGCACCGCCTTTGTCCACCAGCCAGCGACAGTAACATGCTTCCAGTAATATTTTTGTTCCAACCTTCAGTCGCTCGTTTCCATAGCACCGATTATGTCATAATTAATGCCATAATTAATGTGATATAATGATTGGCACCCACACCTTCGAATAATTAAGTCATAATTAATGTGATCTAAATTAATCTTGTCTATTTATTGTAGCAAATTATAGGATTTGTAGCAAATTATGGGATTAATTGGTTAAATTTTGTAGTCTACACTTGCATAAACTTCAAAATCCCTCAATGAAACCTGTCGAATAAAACCTCCCTTCTATCGCCTGACATGAGTAACCGGAGCAATATTGCCACAAGCCTTCTTCCCAAAAAGGATACGTTGCTAGTGAGCGCAAAATGACTTGCACTGATGGTTGCCGCCACGTACAACTTTAAAATGTTCTCTGTTGCGTACAAACGTCCTCAGGTTGCTAAACTCAATAGTTTACGTATAATTTAAGTTCAAGTTATGTTCCCGGAGAGTGACATACGGCGGTAGAGGGTTAATAGTTTAACTAAGCCTAGGGCGTAATAGCTGTTGCTAGCTTCTTGCTGATGGTAGTGGTGCAGAGGCGGATTATCAGGAATTGGGCACAAGAACACATCTAGTCGTCTCTTGAAGGCATCTTGGGTGAACTCTCTTGAAGGCATCTTGGGTGAACTCTCTTGATGGTCTCTAGGGTGAACTCTCTTGATGGTCTCTTGGGTGAACTCTCTTGATGGTCTCTAGGGTGAACGCCCTGCTTTCCATGAAGGTCTTTTGGGGGAATTCCCTTCTTCTCACTGCCAAATCGGCACGGCGTTGAATGAACAGCTACGACTAGTCACGAAAATAGATGCTTCCAGGAGAGTAAACTCTGGCAGTGACTCGGTTGTTCAGTTGGGCTATCTTGCAGTATAGCCTTCTTTCATTGTAATATGTCTCAAGTCCAGCAATTATCTTCCAAGTGTACAGTATGATATACATCTCTCTTCTCCTATCCAGTGAGTACAGTCCCAGGAGTTTCAGCCTTTCCCAGTAGTCCAGGTCCTTCATCCCGCTGATCCTGGACGTGGAGGTCCATTGGACTGCCTCAAGTTGCCGCACTGGGCCAGCCATGAGCGGAGCCCAAAGCTGGCAGCAGTACTCCAAAATGGGGAGCTGGTGGACACTAAAGAGGGTTGCTTTCCAATAGAAAGGTTAGCCCACGGCTATAGAGGGTAGACCTAGGCTGAAGAGGATAGGTCTTGGCAGAAGGGGTAACTCTCGGAGCGAACAGTTCTCATTGGACACATTCGTCAAATCCACCCCATCTGTTGTCTGTCTCTTACCGCCACTGCCTTAAACGCAGCACACAAATCATAAATAAAACGGAACACGGAGCATACAACACGCATCAAGCAGCTCACAACACACAGAACACAGCACATACATTGGCATCATCAGAGCCAGTAGCCACTGCGGTCCCCTGAAGGGTAGAACTTAACACAGCACACACTATACAGTCCACATCACACACGACACAACGCACGCCATACAAAACACACAACATACGACACAAATCAAGCAGCACACACCACACAATATACAGTACACATCACACACCACACAATACACTACATACGACACAAATCACGCAGCACACACCACTCGCCACACATCACACAGCACACACCACACACTATACAGTACACAGTACACACAGTGGCATCATCAGATCCAGTAGCCACGGCGTCTCCTGAAGGGTAGAACTTGGTACAGCACACACCATACAAGTACTTTACAGTACACATCACATCACACACATTACACACTACACAGTACACACAGTGGCGTCATCAGATCCAGTAGCCACGGCGTCTCCTGAAGGGTAGAACTTGACGGCGTTCACGTCGGACTCGTGGCCCTCGAAGCTCTGCACGCAGCGGCCCGAGCGCATGTCCCAGACGAGGGCGAGCTTGTCGCATCCCTGGGGGATAAGGGATGATGAGGGAAGATGAGGGTAGGTAACATGACCCACAACACTTAAGACCCATTAACCCCCACTCAACACGCCCGACTCACGCCACTCAACATGCCCCACTCACCCTACTCAACATGCCCCACTCAACATGCCCAACTCACCCCACTCAACATGCCCCACTCACCTCAACCAACATGCCCCACTCGCCCCACTCAACATGCCCCACTCACCCCCGACACGAAGGTATTGCCAGTCTCAGAGGGCGCGTGGTCCAGGGCCATCACATCGCCCTGGTGGCCGTGGAAGCTCTGCAGCATGAGGCCGGACTCGACGTCCCAGAGGGCGCATGTAGAGTCCCCTGAGCCCGTTAGGATCTGAAGGAGGATATTAATTGTGCGTATGATTTATATGATAATTTAGGAGACGGACCTAAAGGATAACATAAATATTATATTGTACATATTTTTTAATAGTATCTGCAGGGGGATATTAATTGTTCGTATGATTGATATGATAATTTAGAAGACAATTGGTCGGAAAAATTGAGTCCCACAAGGGACTCTAAAACTGTCAGGTTCTAAAGGATAACATAAATTGCACTGTACAATTTTCTTAATCCTAATTATAATCAATTTTCCTAATCCTAAATTATCATATAAATCATATGTACAATTCATACATATGATTAATATGATAATTTAGGAGATAATTGTTCGGAATAATTTAGGCGAATAATATAATCGAAAGTTCAATTATTATTCGAACTTCAGAATAATGGCTGTAGGAATCAAATGCGTACGTTGAGCTAGTTCTCACCTGTTGATTCTCAGAAGTGCGGTTCTAACCTGTTGGTTCTCAGTAGCGGTTCTTACTTCTTGGTTCTCAATAGCGGTTCTCATCCGTCGATTCCTAATTGTCAATAGCGGTTCTCACCTGATGGTTCTCAGTAGCGGTTCTAACCTGTTGGTTCTTAATAGCAGTTCTCACTTGTCGGTGCTCAATAGCGGTTCTCCTGTCGGTTCTCAATAGCGGTTCTCACCTGTCGGTTCTAGATAGCGGTTCTCACCTGTTGGTTCTCAGAAGTGCGGTTCTCACCTGTCGGTTCTTACCAGTCGGTTCTCACCCGTCGGTTCTCACCTGTTGGTCTGAGTACGGGAAGGTGCAACAGGACATGTAGGACGTATGGGTGCCAACAGCCCGTTTCTTAACAGTAACATCTTCATCAAGACTCAACGGGTAAACGGTCACTTTGTTGTCCAGGCCTCTGCAAACATGATAAAGAATGATTAGATGATACAATATCATCATTAAATAAAATAAGTATGTGTAAATGATAGAATATCATTATTAAATGAATCATCATTCAGATCATTCAAGAGTTACAAGCTACAATATCATCATTAAATAAAATAACTATGGTTAAATGTTGCAAACATTATAAAAAGATGATTAGATGACACATTATCATCAGTACATAAAACATGTATGGTTAAATGATGCAAACATGTTTAAATGATTAGATGATACAATATCATCATTAAATAAAACATGTATGGTTAAATGTTGCAAACATTATAAAAAAGATGATTAGATGATACATTATCATCATTAAATAAAATAAGTATGGTTAAATGTTGCAAACATTATAAAAAGGCGATTGGATGATACAATATCATCAGTAAATAAAATAAGTATGGTTAAATGTGAAATAAAAATGTCCATCGGTAACCTGATTTTCGATTTGCCAGTTCAAACTAAAAATATTGTTCGATATATTGAAAAAACTAATAAGAAAATTGCGAATAAAACAAATTCTCTGGTCTTCAATGAAACCTGCTTGAAATTATAATATACTGTATATTTAAGTGCATTGAAATATTGTACTTATACATATTGTTCAAAAAGCTTCCTATATAATTATCTTGCCGTCCTGTACGCGCACAATTTCAATATATAATTAAGTGCGTTATTTTTTTGTTTTATATATATATTGTTCAAAATGCGTCCCATACAATTATCTTGCCGTCCAGTAGACGCAACATTGTAATATAGTGTAACAACAATGTAATATAGCACTGGTATATTTAAGTGCATTGTTCAAATTAATTTATTAATTTACCTTAATAATTAAGTAATATATTTATATAATTAATTTATAACCTGTGAGGATGACACGAAGTGCCGTTTGTCCTGGCACCACTCGGCACCACCTGGCACCACCTGGCACCCACCTGGCACCACCTGGCACCACCTGGCACCACCTTGTTGTGGCACCCACCTGTGAGGATGACACCAGGTGCCGCTTGTCCTGGCACCACCTGGCACCACCTGGCACCCACCTGAGAGGATGACACCAGGTGCCGCTTGTCCTGGCACCAGTCGGTGCAGAGGACCTTGCCCTGGTGGCCCTTCAGGAGACGCCGCTGCTTCACCGCCAGCGTCGTGATGGGGTCGAGTCTACTGGCCACCGTCACTACTGCAAATATTTCAATTAAGTCTTCAATTATTCAGTCATATGCAATAATAATTATCATATAATCAATAATGAAAATAATTTATCAATAATAAAAATAATAAATGATGATAATTGGGCTTCTTAATAATGAATCTAAATGGTAGGGTCGAGTCTGCTAGCCACCGTCACTACTGCAATTAATTTAATTAAGTATTCAATTATTCAGTCATATGCATTAATAAGTACCTATTAAATAATCAATAATAAAAATAATCAATAATGAAAATAATAATTGATAATAATTGGGCTTATTAATAATGAATCGAAATGGTAAGGTCAAGTCTGCTAGCCACCATCACTACTGCAAGTAATTCAATTAGGTATTTAATTATTCAGTCATATGCATTAATAGATATCATATAATCAATAATGATAATTTCTTCAAAATAATGAAATGAGACGGTGGGGTCAAGTCTGCTGGCCACCATCACTACTGCAATTAATTCAATTAGGTCTTTAATTATTCAGTCATATCCATTAATAATTATCAATTAATCAATAATAAAAATAATCAATAACAATAATTAAGCTTCAAAATAATGAGTCACCAGCAAGCCAACTGGCCACAGTCATCATTGTGATTATTTAAAACAAATTCTCGATTATTCAGTAAAATTATTAATTAATTGTTAAATAATCCCTAATAATAATAATTAGGCTTCAAAATAATGAATAAAAACGGTTGGGCCAAGTCTACTGAAAACTGTCACTACTGTGATTCATTAATTAAATAAGTTAATCGATAATTAATTGGCTAATAGTCAATAATTAGTCACCAAAATAATGATTAAACAATTGCGAAACCATGGAGGTCTATAGTCAGCTGTACACCGTCACCAATATGATTTATTAGAATAACTCTTCAATATTCTTAAATCAGTTTGAAAATAACTATAAAAAATTTCTCTCGAACTATAAATTAACAACAGACCCTAATGAAAAAAAATTAAAAGTAACTGCATACAGGTTTAATATAAAACAAGTTTATTAATATAAAAAATTACCTCAAATAAGTTTTAAATGAAGCTTATACTCAATCATTCATCTGCAATGATGATATCAATTAAAGTACTTATTTGATAATTTATAATAAAAATTAGAGAAATTCGTTGTGCAACGATTAGTAAATTAAATGTTAGTTTCTTTAACCGTAGAGTTGTAGAAAAAATTGAGTGGAGTAAATGAAATGTTAGTTTCTTTATCCGTAGAGTTTTGAAGAAGAATTTGTATAGTAATCCCTCGCTTTGTATAAAGCGCTCTTCTACCACGGCTTCACTTCATCACGGGTTTACAATAATATTAATGAGAAGCTATTAATGTATGAAATATCAATAAGAAAATCAATAATAAACGGAAGTAATTAATTTGTTAGACATTATTAAGAAAAACCCTTCGTTGGTTCTCGGGTTTCTAAGAGAGTCGATCGGCTTATTTAAAAAGCACGCAAAAATTGACCGGCAATGAGAGTGCAAAATGAGTTTGTAAAGACTTAAAAAATGAAAACCCACTAAATATTTACGATATGAGTATTAAAATAAGTACTAACAGTCGATATATTCCCCATCGCGGATTTCTGTTGTAAATTTTCTTATGCAAATTTAAATCCTAATTAAAAGTAAAGCAAGAAATAAAAAGGGAAACAGGTAATGGTTAAAGATCTGGGGCAGTAGTATCAAAATGTTAAATACTTGTAGCGGCCTAAGTACATGCAGCGGCCTAAGTACACGTAGCAGCCTAAGAACACGTAGCGGCCTAAGTACATGCAGCGGCCTAAGTACACGTAGCAGCCTAAGAACACGTAGCGGCCTAAGTACGCGTAGCGTCCTAAGAACACGTAGCGGCCTAAGTACGCGTAGCGGCCTAAGTACACGTAGAAGCCTAACTACACGTAGCATCCTAAAAACACGTAGCGGCCTTAGTACACGTAGCGGCCTAAGTACACGTAGCGGCCTAAGCACACGTAGCGGCCTAAGTACACGTAGCGGCCTCAGTACACGTAGCGGACTAAATACACGTAGCAGCCTATGTACACGTAGCGGCCTAAGTACACGTAGCGGCCTAAGTACGCGTAGCGGCCTAAGTACACGTAGAAGCCTAACTACACGTAGCATCCTAAAAACACGTAGCGGCCTTAGTACACGTAGCGGCCTAAGTACACGTAGCGGCCTAAGTACGCGTAGCGGCCTAAGTACACGTAGCGTTCTAAGTATACGTAGCGGTCTTAGCACTCGTAGCGGCCTATGTACACGTAGCGGCCTAAGTACATGCAGCGACCTAAGTGCACGTAGCGGCCAATTTCTCGTCTGTGATTGGTGGGTTTAGCTTGCTAAGCCGTCGTTGATTGGCTGACGCGCTACTCTGCTAATCTCATTTGAAGTATTTATTTGTATCGACTTTGATCTACTGGATAATTCCATGCTTGTCCAGTTATTGGATTTCTACTATACCGATGCTGGACGCGGTCCAGAAACGATGACAGTCACAGCTGGATTTCTGCTGGATAGATACAGCCCATGGTTGAACTAAATAAGCTTGACCCATGGTTGACCCATGATTGACCCATGGTTGTCCCATGGTTGACCCATGGTTGAACTATATAACAATAAGGTTGACCCAAGAGAGAAGTTCCGGCTTTCAGTTCAGCTTTCTTGTTACGTCACGTAGATCGAGAAACGTAAACAAACCCGTCATTCCCATGACGGATTGGTTGACTGGTTTGAACGCATTTCAGTGATTGGTTAATGCCCGTGACGTCACTGAGATCTGAGACGTCACATGCGAACATTGAACTACATCCGCAGGAATAAGCTTCTCATGGGTCAACCTTATACTAGGTCAACCGTGGGTGCAACCCGTGAGGAGATACAGTCGACGCTGGATCCTGGCTTCATATGGTCGAATTATTAATATTTTGCTTATATTGTTTGGTTTTTAGCGCATTTTCACATTTATGAAAAAAAATGCACTATTGTGCTCGCCATGTCCGTCCGTCTGTCTCTCCGTGACTTCACCTTTTCGTTGACGAGAAAATGTCTCTGTCACTCACTGCAGTGACTACTTACTTGTATTTGTTTCATATTTCAAAATAAAATAAAATAAGCGTTTTATTTTCCATGTAATATGTGGGTTCGACCGCTTCTCTGCTCTTATATTTAAAATTTCTTTAGTTTTAAATTTACCCTTATCTATTTGCGTTGTCATGCTTGGCACACTCATAACAAACTCTCATAATGTTTTAAAACTAAAAACTATTAAGGCGTTATATAGGTTCAATGCTTACTTCTCGATATAACCGCGTTACACTTTTATAATTTAGCCCTACCGAGCTTATAAATTGTTCTACTTTCATTTCCAACCTTTATTAGAAAACAAACTCTATCTTATATGAGCATTTCTGTGACCATATCGTAAGACTACCAATTTTGTTACAAATTAGTAAAATTGTACTGGTAACTATCGAATTGATGATGAAACTCGATAAAATACAATGAAAATTTTGGAAAACAAGTGTATTCATTTCGTATTAAGATATTTTTCGAATTAAACTGTATTCAAAAGTCAATTAATGTTAAAGTGTAAGAATGTGTTTTTAGGAGTAGCTCATATAAATTGAGATTTCGGTTCAGAGAAGAGAATTTATAAAAAATTGACAAATTTACATGTTATTGCCAGAAACCAGCGTGCATGATATTCATAATTGCATTTCAATCAGATGAAAAACTTTTCAATTGAAGAGTAAGTCGGTCGCAGAGCAGTGCTAAGGGGTAGCCCAGTGACCGGGCGTTTGAGCACAGCAGAATTTGAGCAGTGAGTTGTGAGTTCGAGACCACAACAAGCTGTAAATGTTCTGCGATGTTAAGAATCGGCGACCTAATAAACGCTGAAACAGCTATTATTATTATGATTAATTGTATTGAGCCTACACGTATCCAAATGTGTATCAACCCAAGCCTGTGCGTAAAATATTTCCTCTGGCGCAAGCGTAATAGGTTAGCTTCGAGCGAACAAGCAGGGTAGGAACTATAGTGTACACTCATCGTGTGCTGTCGTCATGGAAACGGCATGCTTTTACCGGAGAAAGCAGTTGTATTCGCCGGTTCGCGGCCTCGGCGAAGTCATGTGTAGCGTTTTAGCTCTTTAAAACCAGTGAATAGTTTATCGATGCATTGGTATATACCTACAATAATTTTAATCAGATTTGATTCTGTTTAAACTTAACTGGCTTTCTCCTTCAGATGGATACCACTATCACTATGATTTTTATACTGCAGACTTGAGACTGGCATGGTGAATCTACTATGACAGAGGTCGGAGAGCCATTTATGCATGTAAATATATAAGAAAATTGTACCTTGCCAGAATATCTACTTAGCAACAGGATCATGTCTGGACACTAGCAACTTTTGGCTGTGAGTGTGTCACTGTGAGGCCCACAGCAAGTGTGACTGTGTCCTAGGACTCAAAATTGAACTTGAAGGAGAGTCTAAAAAAACTCTCTGCTTTGCCACTATGATATTCTGTCTGTGTGTGGTCACATAGACACAGACAGACTGCTTTGGTCCATACTCCATGTCCATAGTGTGTTGGGGGCAGCAATGAGCAACCTAGTCTAGTCTAGCAGAACCAGAACCACAGTGGCAAAGCAGAGAGTATTTTAGACTCTCTCTCAAGTTCATTTTTGAGCATAGTGGCAGACCAGTGATTTTTTAGAATCAGTTCATTTTTAATTTCCTCATTTACTCGAGATTTCAACTGATTTCTTTTGTATGAAAATTCTGGTATCCAAGATACTTTACTGGTCTACTTATAGGACTCATAAATGAACTTGAGGAAGAGTCTAAAAAACTCTCTGCTTTGCCACTATGTTTTTGAGTCCTATAAGTAGACCACTAAAGTACCGTAAAATGGGGTAACTTAGACCACTTTTTTTCTTATAAATGATGCCATTTTACTAAGTACACGTAGCGGCCTAAGTGTACGTAGCGTCCTACGAACACGTGGCGGTCTAAGTACGCGTAGCGGCCCAAGTACGCGTAGCGGCATAAGTACACGTAGCGGCTTAAGTACACGCAGCGGCCTAAGTGTACGTAGCGTCCTACGAACACGTGGTGGCCTAAGTACGCGTAGCGGCCTAAGTACACGTAGCGGCCTTAGTACACGCAGCGGCCTAAGTACACGTAGCGGCCTAAGTACACGTAGCGGACGATTTCTCGTCTCTGATTGGAGGGTGTAGCAAAAAATTGATTGGCTGATGTTAGTGCTAGTGCTGTTAGTGCGTTAGTGATTGGCTGATTGGCTGATGCGTTAGTGATTGGCTGATGGAGTTACGCGTTTGTAACTGTTGTACGGCCCTACTACTAATGTTAATTAGTAGTAGTATATAAATTATTACATACTATATTAATAATTATCAGAATAATAATTAACGTACATGGAGCATCGTCCAGTTTTTGTCGCTCGTCAGAAAGTGTGATACTCTTTGGACAGTATACCTCAAAAAAGAAAAGTTCAATAAGTGCATTAATTACTAGTAGTATATTGCTTTTTAGATAATATATTAATTGTTACATACTATTTTAATTATTATTTGTTATATAAATAATTACATTAATGTTAATTATTATCTACTATAATAATTATTGCATACTATATTATTTATTATATACTATACTAATTATTACGTACTTTATTATTTATTATATACTATATAAATCATTATATACTACATTAATCATTACATATTTTTTAAAATTAAAATAACTATGTTTAAAATTGAATATAAATATTAATTAAAAATAACTATATATGTAATAACACATAAAATTAGATATAACTATTAAATTATATAAATATTTTACAATTAAAAGAACTATAATTAAAATTACAAAATAAATTAAATTAAATGTAACTATAAATATAATAATATACAAAATTCTGTATGATTCATAATATAATTGTTTAGTTAGATAATTTATATAATTATTATTATTATTACCTATAAATTGTGTTATCCATTGCCTGGTATGGAAATTAGATATAAATATATATGTAATAATATACAAAATTATATATAATTATTAAATTATATAAATATTTTCCAATTAAAGAAACTATAATTAATATTATACATAAATCAAATTAAATATAACTATGAATGTAATAATACATAAATTGAATACATGATTCATTATATAATTTTTTAGTTAGATTATTTATATAATTAGGAATTATTTTTATTACTTATCAATCGCCCTATCCTCCATCGCGTATTATATAATATTAAATATAATATATTATATCATATTATTTTTGTTATTAATATTAAAAATATGATTAATATATTTTGTATAATTGCTTAATTTAATTATATTATTCGCTTTTCTCTCTACCTTATTCCTATAATACGAGGATAAACAAACGAGGGTAAACCCTTTGTTTACCCTCGTCCGAGGACGATGGTAAACAAAGGGGAGAAATGGACGAAGAAAAAAACGCAGTGAAAAGAAGGGCAAGGGAAAAGAAAGAAGGGAAGAAAGTGAGGAAGAAAGAGGGGAAGAAAGGGGTAGGGAAGGAAAATGAAGAAGGATTAGGGAGTTAAGGAAGTCGCAGAGCGACATCCAGATTTGCCGAAAGTCAGGAAAAAAATCTTTTTCATATTAAATTCGAAAATTTATCCTAAATTCGTAAATCGTGTATTTTTTATATCTTAAGTGAGATCTAATATACGCATCTAGATCGATATATAATAACAAATGATAGTATTATAGTGCACATAACTTGTAAATAATGATCATGTATATTAATAATGATAGTACATAAACCGAGCACTGAACTCTTGAAAAATCCCAGCTGAATTAATGCGAATTAAACTTAATTATGCCAAAATAAGCTGATGCAAGTTAGTAATAAATTCAGAAAAATATTTTATACAATACGAGCTTAATATATACATTGTATACCATACATTAAAAGTTAAACTCAAATATATTGAACTTCAACTGCCAACTATGCGACCGAAAACGGTATATAGACTGTATAGTCTATATACCATATAGTCTCTATAGTCATCCCTATTTTAAGAATAAGTTTATAAAAGAAAGATATTTTTGTCAATTATTAATTTTTCGCGCAAGTTTTCCATGAATTATTTTGTATTCTTTAAGCAAATAAATGATTAAAAATTAATAAAAAATAGTAAACAATTTTTAAATAGAATTTTCGACTTACGATCGCAAGGCAATTTACTCGAAATTGAAAGGGAGATTTCGTTACATAATTTTTCGGGTTTCAAACTGATCGTTCAATTCGTCTCAGCGAATTTAAAAGTGAAAAATTTGAAAAACGTGGCAAAAATATTATTATAACCAGAATTTTGTGGAAGGAACTGCTAATTTTATGAAAATTAGCATATTTTAGATACGCGTACTGTAGTTGTTTCGTCCTTTAAAAGATTTTTTCACCGAAGATAATTGTTCATAAAGTGATCAGAACGAAGGTTAAGAATTCAGAGATTCTTTAACATACCTACCGTAGTGAAGCTGATGTTTATAATGAACGCAAATTTTGTTTATACCACATAAACAAAGATCTCAAATTAGAATTAGTTTAACGCGGTTCTCGATTCATCAGCTCTGATCTGGAATCTTCAGCTAAAGTTCAAAACTGCAATAAAACTTCAGAATAGAACTTGAATAATCCGCGAGTTTATCTACAGATGCAGAACCTGACGTACAACCAACCACGACGCTTTCTTGATAAGCACTGCCGACAGGCTGTCAGCGACCGGATGTTGTCGTACTATCTTGCGCTATTTTGTTTGTAGTTTACAAAATTATTTCATCACCAAGAACCTTTACATTTGAAACACACGTTAATTAGAGTTATGAAAATAATCTTTTGCTCAAAATTTATTTTTTAACGCGAAATTTGAAAAGAATTCGCCAGTTTTTTCAAAAACAAAAAGGGGTATCGTACGTCTGACACACACAAGCTCGATCAATGGACAGGAAGCGCGCCGATTGTCCGTTCCTAGCACGACTGTACGCATGTATTTTCAACGCAATCTTAAACACTACGTTATTTTTATTCAAATTTAAACGTATTCTCTATCTTGATAAGTAAATGAAAGGTTTTCTTCAGCAGATATTATCCGATTATGCGTAACCAAACTCTAATTTATTGCAAAACTTTAACTTCTCAAATTTTTTATTTTGACAAAAATATCATTTTTATAACTTCCAGCAGCCAGAAAATATACAACGGAAAGAACTACTCGCATTATTCAATGTAAGATTCAATCAATCATATGATAATTATTATTACAAAGGATAAATAAAATAACAATGGCAGACGAAAACATTTCTTCATGCATCTGGCGATATTCAAAACATAATCAAAACTATGCCATATATGCCTTATAGCTCCATTCATTATTCACAACTTATAAGTATTAATCATTCAATAATAACACCAACTTGACAGTTTCATTCCTTTTCCGTACATTTCTTCAACAATAATGAATAAAGAGATGTTGCAAAATCAATAAAGATGATGAACAAGCGGAAAAAAATTAAAAATACATAGCAGTAAGGAAATGGTCACTGTTAATAAATGATCACTATAGATTCATTGTTAATGTAGGAAACAGTATCAACGTATCGTTACAGTAGCGAGAAGTGGTCTCAACGAGGTCATGCGCACATTGTTGAAACGTTGAACATGACGCGAACGTTCATGTTAACTACACATGATACGCATAAAAAAACAATCCTGGTCAAACTAAAATATACAAGCTATAGGTAGTAAATACCTACTAGTAACGCAAGCGATCGAGTTCAGAAACTATGTGTAACAAGAAGATAGTCATAAGATGAAACTGTTAGTCACAAAATGTACCTGTACCTAATTCTTTTTACAGCTTGCGGTGTTAAATTTCATAAAATTATCTTCACAGGATGTGAACTTGGAATTTTGGAAAGGAACTCACAAATTTTGAACATTCTAACAGTTGATAGAGATCAAAAAATTAATTCAGACCAAAACGTTAATACAGACCAATAAATTAATACAGACCATTTATGTAAAACTGATATTTGCGAACAGGTTTATCATATATTTCAACATTTATAAAGATCAAGAAATGATAACGTACTCGTACAATGTCAAGTTAAGTTTCAAACAGAAGACAAACATTGAAAAAAATAAGCGAGACATTAGTCCAAATAGCACATGTTTGCTCCTGAGTAGGTCATCTTAACCCAGTTTAGCTCGCCAAAAGGGAGTATCAGAACTACTTGCAGTAACTTTTAGGTCAATATGACCAATACATTTTTCTGAGTATACAAGAGTTTGATGCCAGAGATACTGGAAAAAATATACAGTATGATTCACTACAATAAACGTAACTCAAATATGATGTTAAGAAAATATCATGAATATATTCTACGGAATACATTATGAATATTTCAGATAAAAACATCATACTATTTCCTAATGAAAATATTATGTTTTTACTGGAAAATGTTCATAATGCTTCCATTAGAAAATATTCATAATGTTTCCATCAGAAAATATAATGTTTCCATTAGAAAATATCCATAATGTTTCCATTAGAAAATATCCATAATGGTTCCATTAAAAATATCCATAATGCTTCCATTAGAAAATATTCATAATGTTTCCCTTAGAAAATAATCAAGTTTTCATCAGAAAATATTCATAATGTTTTCATCAGAAAATATTCATAATGCTTCCATTAGGAAATATTCATAATCTTTCCGCTAGAAAATAGTCATGTTCCCACTAGAAAAAGTAACAATTCCAAGTTTTTAATCGCGCTACGCTGCATAATCAAAAAGATCACTCTACAACTTAACCTAAGGGGTAATAACATACCTAACTTATTCGAGTTAACCAAACTTAAGAACTAAACACCTAAAAAATCCAAGAATAACCAGACAGCAAATCCTGCAAATCAAGCTAACATCGCCTGAATCTTATAGTTTATCTAGAACATTTTTTGTATCACAATGACGTTGCATGTAATTTTATAACCGTGATGTTTTCTTAGGTGGCGAAACAAAAGCAATGTTTCGTATAAAAAATTCCTGGATGAAAAAAAGAATGTTTTCCAGGGATTGAAGTATTTTTACACATGATATTTAGTACATGACGTCAAGAAAAAAAGAAAACTGAAAAGAAAAGACAGCCAAAAAAATTTAACTTCCAAAATAATGAACTCGCAATTTTCCATTATTATGAGAGACAAAAAAGAAAGGCGACATTTATTTCAAAAGCGGCATGAAAAAATTTTTATCTTTAAGAATTTAGGGTAGAAACGCGTAAAAACACAGCAGGACTTTCCTAATTTCATGAATATTTTTTTAAATCAAGAAAAAAAGAAAAAAAAAGAAAAGAAATTGGAAAAGATAAGATCATCAAGGCGTACCATTGAAATAGCAGTTATGTGCTAGCATGAGTCAAGATTATACACTGTTAAACCACACAAACTTCGAGAGTAGCAAGTTCGCCTAAAATATATTGAAGTTGAACCCCACACGTTTATTTTCAGGAATTTCTTTAAAATTTCACCACTGAAGTCTATAGATTAATCATTTCTAACATAGACTTCATCACAGTACGCAAGATCAATACATTTCTGAAGTTATCACTTCTAACTTAGACTTCATCACAGTACGCAAGACAATACATTTCTGAAGCTAACACTCGAGGTTCTACTTCGCGATCAATCGCTCGAATCTTTAGACCTGATCTCCTTGATCTTCTTAGATCTAGATTTTATTTTCTTGGATTTGGAAGACCGATCCTTGCTTCTGCTCTTTTTTTCTTTGCGTAGTTTCGACTTGTGTTTTTTGCGTTCTGAAGATCGACTCGTTCGTTTCGCACGTTTCGATTCAGATTCACTAGGTTTTTCAATCAGTTTCACAACTCGTTGGTTCTCTACGACGTTGGTAGCGGATTTGAGGTTTTGAGATTCAGGTCGAGGCGTAGCGATTATACGGAGTCGCTTAGCGAATCTTGCAGTGTCTTCGGATTCTGAAGAAGAAGAGTCTAGAAGAGTCACTTGGCGGCTAGAAGTCTTACTTGACTCTGTCATTTGGGAGTCACGTTTGGCAAATCTTGGAGTAGGTGAGCGCAGTCTCAATTTGGGATATAAGTTTTTACTGAACAAACTTACAGGTTCAGAGTCTGACTCTGAGATAGCAGGTCTCGCTGCACGAGCAATGTTCAAAAATGAAGTTGAAGTTGGCCGACTTTCAGGCTCAGGAGATGAATCTCGTCTGCTGCGATTGCTCTTATATTCTTCACAGGAAGAATTTCCGTCAGAATCCGAATTCTTATTTTTAGTTTTTATGAAGTCCCGGGTTCTTTTATATGCTGCTCCAGCTTTAGAAACAACTTCCTCCTCGGAATCGCTGGAATCAAGGAAATTTTTGTAAGAAGGCCCTTCAGGTTTCTTGCTGTGAGCCAGTGAAGAAAAAGTTCTTTTGGTCTCATCACGTATATACTGGGTCTTGTTCTTGGCTATCTTTTTCTGCATAGTAGAAGAAACACCAGCATGAGGTGTCTCAACTTTGACAGGGTTGACCGTAACTCGATAGCCATGCTCCCTTCTGTTGCTGCTGCTGGTGTCAGGTGCATCCATGGAAGCAACATTTTTAGTCATGGGTCTAGCAGAACTTTTGATTCTAGATGGGTGATCCTTAGGCTCCCGACGAATGCCAGAAGCAGAATCTTCTGAAGAATCTCCGTCATCTTGCGCAAAAACAGGCGCGGTTATTTTCCGTTTACCATTAGATTTTATTTCGCTGGCGTCAGATTGCTGATCATCATTGCCAATTTGCTTTTCATTATGACACATGATTATTTCCACATGATTATTTGCAACCCCAAGATTAGCAGAGGAAGAAATGGAGAAACTTTTTCGATCAAGTTTAATTGGTTTAGATTTCATAGATGAACTTTTCCCAGCCTTGACTGCTGAAATTGAAACAGAAGTTTTTGGCCTTGTCCCAGTATTTTTGGCAGGACGAGTCTCGGCATTTTCTTCAGAGGAGTCAGAAAGCACGATACTTTCGATGGCACTGGATTTTACAGACTTCCAAGTTATCTTCTTGGGAGTAACAGGTTTCTCATCTACAATACGACACTCGTCCGAATCTGTAGAGATGACACGCGACTGTGGTTTGGAACAACCACAAACCTTATTTTCCTTCTTAACTGAAGCAGTACTGGTACTACTTTTCGAACGAGCAGACATATTTTGTGAGCAGGTACAAGGAATGGAACTGTAGGTGTGGTCGCCTAGTGAGGTCTTATTTTGGTCGCTCCTGGAAACCTGGTTTTCACCATCACCGTAGTTATTATCATTGTTTTCATCTCCAGATGACAGTACCAAAGTGTTGTCATTCTCTGCATTGTTTGTTGCCTGTTCAGTAACATTGTCAGCAGTAGATGGTGCCATTGCATTCCCAGAAAGTATTGAGCTACCAGGGGTAACTCGATTCCTATTTCTGATAGGAGAGCAGAGAGGTACACGAGATTCACGCAAACCTCTCGAAGTTTTAAAATTATTTTGAAATCTGCGCCTCGAATGAAGGGGGTGGTCATGTTGTACAGCAACTCGTTCTCCTGAAGCTTCGTAGTGATAACTAATACGAGGGAACTGTCTTCTGCGACCAAAGAGATAATTGTAAGTTAAATCTTGATCGAAACGAGAACTGGTATTATTGGTGCTAGTGACAGGTGTTATCAGTCTAGCAGGTAGTACAGAGCTTAAAGGACCAGTCGAAGGACCTCGTAAATAACTGTTAATTCTTCTAAGTTCGTTGGAAAAACTAGAGCCACTAGCGTTGTCATCGCTAGTAGTCGCGGCAGGGGCTGTAGTTTCTTGACTAGCAATGGATGAAGTGTCTCCTGTGAGGTCGATTTCTACAGACGCAGCACCGCCATTTGACCCATCCTCACCCTGTTCACCCACCAAATCCAGACTAACAGGAGGAATTTCACGCAGAGCGTAATCTGAATAACGGTTCCTTACGGCATCATCGTAACCTACGAAATCATAAGACGAACGAGCGAAGCAGTTGAACTCGTGGAGGAAATGCAGCGTTCGATGTCCAAGGTATGGAGTCAGAGCTCGGTTCATTTGCCTTGAGTCAATGTCGTGAATGGTAATAAGTTCAAGAATTATAGTCAATACAGAACTAGGGCACCTAAGAGCCCTCAGCTCTCGAAGCAGCCATGGGACAAGCCGGTGAGTGAGCGCAGGCTGTTCACGGAAAATGGCGGGACTGCACATACGAGCTTGTCCATTAGCGGTCACAAATCGCACCCAAAGATCATGACTGTAGATGTGCGACCGGAACGCAACTCCACTCAGTTCAAATGGCCTATTGGATCTTCTTGGTGCATTGTTAACAGATCTTCTCGGGGCGTTGTCATCACCGTTCGGGAGCGTGAATCCATGATTATAAGCATTATAAGGGTTCACAAATAATGCAATGTGGTTCACATCAAACATTAAGTTGAAAATACTGCTAGCAGAACTAGCGGGTGGAATGATGTACTCCTTGTAATCCTGGTCCCCTTTGATGTCATGGATGATCATTGTGAATCGAATTTTGCACAGAGGACAATCTGGTTTACGTTTGGACCACTCCTTGAGGCATGGAAAACAGAACCTGTGTAGACAGGATCCGGCAACACAGGCGTCAGTGATGACACACAGGCATATGGAGCAGGTGTCTTCAGAAACAGGAGATTTAGGGGCTTTTTCTGGAGATTTTGGGCCTTTAGGGCTTGATTTCGGTGAATTCTCATTAGATTTTTTAGGACTTTTATTTGGACTTGGACTTTGAGTTGTGAGACCCCAGGCAGAATTGGTACTTTGTCTTGGACTGGGAGGTCTGTCAGGACTTCGCCTAGGCGAGGGAACAGCAGAACTATGATCGGGATTAAACAACTCTCGAATGATTTCTTCCTGACGTCGATTCAAATTTGCAAGAAAACTAGAATCTTCACTACTTGCATTGGACGTGGAAGAAGCATTAAAAGAACTTGCATTTCTCAATTCAGAATTATTCTGTCCACTTTGACTCGCATTATTTTCTCTGCTGGTCACCTGAGCTTCAATTCGTGACCTAACATTTTCCTCATCGTCATCATGATTATCAAACACATGATTATTAGCAACCCCAAGATTAGCAAACAAAGGATTATTTGCAAAATTACGTTGTTCATCCTCTGAAGAGCTGCTGTTGGAACTGGAGATATCCTGCTGATAATCAAGGACGTGGTCAGCTGAGTCACTCGAGTAATGGTTCCAGCTCAACTCGCTGTCGTGACCATCTGGGTTGTGAGGTCTGTGGTTCGGATAAGGCGAGTCAAGCACCGAACACAATCGGCTGCGCGGGTAATCATCATAATCATGATCATAATCTCTGAACATTGAGTGACCAATTAATCCTCCTTCTCGTCGCCAGTTTCCTGTACCAGCTCGTGCACTGGAACCTATCTCCTGAAGGGCATTGTTAGCAAACACTTGAGAGTAAGAAGGACCTGTTAATGCTGACCTAGCAGCACCTTCAGACTCAGAACCAACTGGGACCTCAGAGCGGTTACTTGCAGGACAGTGAATGCCCTCTTGATCAGCAGGGTTAGAAGTGGTAGATCCTCGAGTGCTTGGATTCCAGTAAGAATTTAATCCAAAACCTTTTTTCTCAGCAATGGAAGCACCAGAAGCTGCATCTTCAGCATTTGATGTTCTAGATCCAGCATTACTATTTGTGAGTTTTGATCCCTTTTTATCGGTAGCAGAAATTAGGTTTTTATTTTCAACACTTTTGCTTTGCTTTGATATCTTACTGATACCTGTGAGCCCAGCTCCAGAATTACTGGCACCAGCAAGCCCAGCTCCAAAATTACTGACACCTGCAAGCCCAGCTCCAAAATTACTGGCACCTGCAAGCCCAGCTCCAAAATTACTGACACTGGTAAGCCCAGCTCCAAAATTACTGACACTGGTAAGCCCAGCTCCAAAATTACTGGCACCAGCAAGCCCAGCTCCAAAATTACTGACACTGGTAAGCCCAGCTCCAAAATTACTGGCACCAGCAAGCCCAGCTCTAGAATTATTTGCTCTTGCAAGTCCAGTTTCAGAATTACTGGCTATTGCCAGAGCAGAATCAGGCTTGTTTGATTTGGGTTCTCGGGCTTTGGAGCTATGTTTTAAATTCGATTTTCTCATAACACCAAGATATGCAGAATTGTGATGTTTTGAAAACCTACTGGATGATTTATCTCTATCATCATCAGTATCAGAGGAGGAACTGCTTGAGGAGGATGAAGAGCTGCTAGAGGATGACGAGTCACTATCATTCACATCTCTGGAGGACTGAGTTCCCCTAAAAGGACGCTGGCTGGTTGGGCGCATCCTAGAATCACTTTCTCCAGAAACATTTTGCACAGATGGCAAGTTTGAATGACCAGTTACAAATTGAGAAATTGGTGCAGCTTGAAAAGATACATGTCCTGATGAATCCTGCTGATTACTATTCTGCATAGAGCTGTTGCTATTAGAATCTGTTTGAATCTCAGTTGGAGGAATCAGTGCAGGTCCAATGGAATCTTGTTCCGATAAATCCTCTCTCTCAGGATGATTTGTAAGACGCAAGGGACTGCTGGTGTAATCCTCCATTCCATCTTCCTCTCTTCCTTCTTGTGCATCCATATCACTGGGGAATGATGGTGAGGATGAATGCTCAGAACTCATGGAGGATGACATTGGGATTAACTTGCCACGTGAATGATAGGCAAGATATGCCTCCCGTAGATGCCAGGCAGGTTGGATCTCTTGTCAGCAAGCTTGAGTTCTGAAAATAAATCCTTAATTAATCATGTATCATTTTTTTAAATTGGCATAAATAGTCAGGGTTGGCAATGATTAAATCAAAATGATTAAATCATGTGATTAAATCACTTGATTTTTTTATAAAAAAATCATGATTTTTTTTATTTTTTCGATTTTTTTTATTTTTTCATATACTTAAATATATTGAGTGGCAGTCTTTAATTTACATTGAGATATTGTTATTCATGGTTTAGTATAAATGTACTATGAGTGACAAATTGGTATATAAACTTGTTGCCTTTAGTGTGTATTAGGTTCCAATAAATTCAATGTTTTTGGTACAGAGGCATCAAGTGTGCAATACATTGTGCCTAGCTAGCAGCTTAGCTAATTCTTATAAGGCTATAAGCCGTCTTTAACTATTTGACTACTTGTTATATATTGATTACAATATACAATTTAAATGTGTTAGCTAGCTTATTATACAGGGTGGGGCAGAACTGATTAAACAGTTTTGAGGCGAAATAAAAGAGAAATGGAGGTACACGAAGAAGAAAGTTTATTTTCCTCAAGATTAGCATAGCATACCATATATATATAAAATACTTATGTGTTGAAAACAATATCAGGAAGATGTGTCCGTTAGCTGCAACACACTGTTGGAGTCGTTCTCGGAAGTTTTCTACAGCAAATTCACAGCCTTAGCTGTGGTAGGGTGTGAGGGCGACTTCTTAACCCCTTTCTTTTAGATGTCCCCAAAGAAAGAAATCGCAAATGCTCAAATCAGGTGACCTCGCAGGCCACTGTAAATCACCCCTCAGAGTCTGGGAACATGTGTTTCAAAACATTGAGTGACATTCGGGCTGTGTGAGCTGTAGCCCCATCCTGCTGGAACCACACGTCTCCCAATGTTTCATTTTCAACAATGTTTTCCATCATGGGCTGCAAGAAATTTTGCAACATTGCAGCATAGCGATCAGAATTCACTGTTACGGTTACTCCCTCCTCTGAGAACGACTCCAACTGTGTGTTGCAGCTAACGGCCCTCATCTTCCAGATATTGTTTTCAAAACATAAGTATTCTCAATGGTATGTTATGCTGACCTCTAGGAAAATAAACTTTCTTCTTTATGTACCTTCATTACTCTTTTATTTTACCTCAAAACTGCTCAATCGACTCTGCCCCACCCTGTATATTGAGAGGTTGAGATTGTATTGACCTGTTAGGCAATTAGAATGATTTTTCACCCTAATACAAGTATTCTAATTAAAATATTTAATTTCAATCTTTAAATATGTGAATCTAAAACTAGAAACAAAACAATTACAACTATAAGACTATATATAAAATATATATAGAGAGGGTAAAGTATAAAGTGTATAGAAGGTAGAGTCTGGTAGATTTATAGGACATAAAACTAGTAGATCTATTGATAGTGCTGTGCACTGTGCTATCAGCTACCTATCTGTTATGTGACTCTTCAATGTTTAGAAGATCTGCATTCCTGAAGTGTTGTTGTATAGTGAAGCCAGTTAAATGGTCAATATTTAGCTCGTTACCTTGCTCCATACAAACTTTACAAAGCTAATGAATAGACTTATCAATAATTGTTTACCCAAAAATCCCTAAGTGGTAAACACCACCTTGGCCATTATTGAAGGCAATAAGTGTCCTTTTTAGCCATCCATTATGACCCATATACTGTTATTGTTAGTAGGCTAATTGCAACATAAAAAATACCACTTCAAAAAGACAAAAAAGCCGAAAAAATCAAAAAAAATCACCAACCCTGTTAAAATAGTATTCATAGTTACTGAAGTTACCAAAAGGTAAATATAATAGCTAAAAAATATCAATCTTGGTTGATAATATTTAAAATTTCCAGCTAACCTCAATCAATGTGCTAGAGAACTAACATTACAATTTCAATAGTATTAGGAAAAAACTATTTGCAAAAGTGTAAGCCTTTATTGTTATTTGATGATGTACAGATTATGAAAAAATTACGAACACAATTTCAAATTTCACACTTTTAATAAAAGCTTGCAAAGCTAAGGAATCTGTATAAATTACAGCTATGCCTTCCAAGTATTGAAAAAAACAATGCTTAATAATCAGAAACAGCCTTTCAACATTTATTTATCTACCATCAATGTCTAGTTCTAAGTATTCTGTAACCTATAATGTATGAAATAGAGCTGGGCACACATATAATCTTGTCAAGCTTTCAAACTTCAAATTGTATTCATAGGAGTTTATGCAATTGATTAAGAAATCATAAATAACAGCATGCCATGCTGCAAGGAGTTCATATAATTAGAGATTTCATTGAAGACCAGAGAATTTGTTTTATTCGCAATTTTCTTATTAGTTTTTACAATATATCAAATAATATTTTTAGTTTGAACTGGCAAATCAAAAATCAGGTTACCGATGGACATTTTTATTTCGTTAACGAAATAAAAATGTCCATCGGTAACCTGATTTTTGATTTGCCAGTTCAAACTAAAAATATTATTCGATATATTGAAAAAACTAATAAGAAAATTGCAAATAAAACAAATTCTCTGGTCTTCAATGAAACCTGCTTGAAAGAAGAAATTCTGCCAACCTATAATAATTAGAGATGTGGCTTAACATAGTGACTCAAAACTAATATTTTGTTAAATATACATGGCCAGATAAAATAATTTATTTTTTATCTGCAATCATCAGTTGCATGAGTAGGATTCAAATTAGAAATAATTTGTCTTCATTATGATGCTACACTTGTGCCCAAAATTATTCATACCCTTTCAGAAATATGAATTCTAATTTTATAGAACAATACAGATCATTTACAACTTATTCTTCTAGGAAAGGTTGTCATAATGATGCACAACAAATTTAATGCCAGGAAATACTATGAAAATAACTTTCAACTGTAATTACTATAAATTTTGTGAGTAACTAACTGTCCATAATTATTTGTACCCTCTTATCCAAGATCATTCATCATAATGTTTAAGAAGAACTATTAATGAAGATAGTAGTAGATACTCAAATAATTGTATTTCAAATTCTGTATTAAGCATTGTAATATTTATTTCTGCAGTCTGAAAATATATTTTTTTTCACAATTTAGGGAAAACCTAAAATTTTGCTGAATGTTGGAAGATGGCAAAGAAGAAAGAGCTTATTAATGATCTCTGAAACAAAATTTTAAATTCCCACATATGTGAAGGGCTGGGATATAAAACAATATCTAAGAAGTGTGATGTTCCTACATATACAATACAGAGTGTTATAAAATAAATTCAAATTATTGTATTATTATTGCAATTAATGTATTGTATATCATTGAGTGCTTAGGTACCTATGTGTGGTGATGCTTATAGAAAAAAATTAATAGCAGTGACACTTTTAGAATTTCAATACCACAAATTTTTGTTGTACTTGTATTTGCAATTTATAGGTTGTTACACAAAAAAAAGATAATTAATTGATAGATTAATTGGATAATTAATTGATAAATATTATGCAAAAGTTGATAGGTTAATAATATAAGAAACGTTACTTAAAACAGTTTCACAATTTATAGGACCAGTATTGTCAAATGGGGTGATAAGGGATGGTTTTGAGCATTTTTTATTGATAACTTCTTACCATGAAACATTCATAAACAAGTTGGGGCTTTATTTTAAAGCTCTTTGCGAGGGCAATCGTATGGCATCTTAAAAAATTCCATATGCTATTCATAAGGTGCCAGATGCAGAATAAAAGGATCCCAAATTACCCCTGAGAACAGGGTAATCTGGGACACTTGAAATAAAACTTATTTTTAAACCATTTGAAGAAAGCAGAGTGTACTAATCTATTACTAACGGTAAACTGAAGTCCTCCTTTTCCTTTGTGGATGATGTAGATGTAGAATAAATGATATGTCTGTGATTTTTACTTGTTTTTCCTTTATTGATATGATATTACCATATCCATATATTACCGTATTGTTGATGTGATATATCCATATCCACGAGCATGCCATTGAGCATTGACAATGACCTTGTCCACTGCAAGCTTTGCATCAGCAGCCATATGGCATTTCTTCTGTTCTGTAAGCTTACAAGACAGCTTGTAATTTCACATCATTTTAATTAGGAGCAAGTGAATTCACTATAACAAGAGATTGTAACATTCTCTGCAGAATTTTGTGATGACCAATGATGCATTAATTTTTGTCAAGTGAAATTTTTTTTCACTGAGCAAGGTAAATATAATCAAAGTTTTTTGTTGCTAATCAATTTTTTTACATTAACTGGCCTTTGCTAATCAAGGTTCTACTGTATATGCATTTTTAGGGGTGTCATTTTCCCATATAAATATTACTCTGGGGGCTGTCCCTTATTACCCCGTCCTGCATAAATGGCCGCACTTTTTTTGGAATGAGATATGAGAATTCTATCAATCTAGTTTTTAAGCCAACGCCTATGTGCAACTTTTATGTAAGTAAAATTTTTTGATACGTCAAATATTTTTTTGCTACATATCTTGACAGATGTACGTTTCCAAAATCTCACTTTTTACGGTTTTTTTCAGGGATTTTTTAGAGGTAGTAAATGTATGATTTCTTAACTTACTTTGGGCTACATAGATAGCAATAATGTTAAATAGTTAAGCTGCTACAACATTTCTACAAAATGTGGGATGACTGTCCCATTTTACCCCGCCTGTCCCATATAACCCCGTTTGATGGTACGCACCTAAACAAGTAAGTAGGAGTTGTATTTGCGATGTTAATGCCCAAAATTTGCCAAGGTTTTATTGACCAATCAGTGGCACTGTGGCTGAACAATGTCACGCTTTTGCGGCTACCCAACGCTCAGGTTGGTTTGACGGCTTATGGCTTTGGCACGTGTTTCCACAGTTGCAGCTGGTACAAATAAGTCTCCTGTGAATAAAGGTAGAATCATTGTGATTTATCCCATTCATGTGTAATGAAAGTGTCAACTATTTCAGAATCTTTTCCTGAATACACTCGTGAAAACTAAACTTCTAGTCAATGGAGTCTCTGAAGTGACAAAATACTTAGATCTAAAATATTTAGATGAGTGAGACAATCAATAGATTCCTAAGAAAAAATTTGTTTCTTGGTGTAATAGTTCAGATATATTTTAAACCTTCATCAGAAATTATGCAAATGTTATTTAACTTGAACTGAATATGCAGTCTATTGAAGGCTTTAACACTGCAACATTGATTCTAGTTCATTACATTTACAACATCAAACAAAGAGATTGCTAGTGATGCCTGAAAATTAGTGGCATATGAGGCTTCTTGGCTCTGCTTACTTAGTTTATAATCAAACAATCAATATTCAGGATCAAATCTATCAGTAATCCAGGGTGCAGATGGTGCAACCAGTACTGCCAATATATGGGTTTTTAAGCCCAAAGCGTTGCCAACCATTTTCAAGATCTGTCGCCAGGTAATTTTAATAAGAAAATGCTGCTAACAACTTTGATAGCATATCCCTTACTCTGTAAGCACTACAATATTATAGCTCAACATGTATAACTCAGCAGCTATCTGGCAGCCAGACGCATGGTGCCTTCTATTGAGAGAGCGTCAAAGACAGATATATTTTACCCTAAAAAACAGTTTGTTTGTACAGCAAGTGTCATCTGAACATGTGATAATGCAGTCAGACTGCTCTAACATGACCGCAACTACGCAATCGTAAACTTGCTTGTTGTTTACGTTCACTGGCGGGAACTCATCGCAACTGATTTCCGGACAAGCTTCACTGCATCCTGATCTATCCAATGTACCAGAAACCTTACTGTGTGTGCTTGCGGTCTTTCAGATTTCCAACTTTTTTCTAAATAGTTGGCTGAAGACTGGCAAATATCTAAAATGCAATAATTTAAATCAAAATGTGTCAGCAAGACCTTCTGAAGGCGTAAATTTTGCTGTTGATGTGTTGCCAATGATCTTGCAATATTCACCCACTCTCTGCACAGTGGCCAGTAATCTTTTTAATATAAGATAGTTAGCAAGTGTGTATTGAAATGTCTTCCACATTAGCAACCGGAATTTTGTTAACTCACCAAACAAAGAACAGAATGCACTTGCACAGTTGCGCACATGTTTTCATTACATAAGCAGAAATGTGAGTTTGCTCTGTCAAATTGCTTATGCTGTATGCATTATGTTAAACTCTTATTGGTAGCCTGATTTGTTATCAATTAAAGACTGTAAATTTGTGGTGTTTGACTTAGAGATAAATTGTAAATAAACTATTATTTACTTTAATTGAAATCTTAAGTATTGTAAGTCTCCAACCTTTATTCTAGTAATTCTTGATTCTTCCAAGCAGGGCTGAAAAAGTCCTATTTTTGTCTGAAATATTGTGGCTCTAATATCATATAATTTCAGTAGGTATGAAATCTTGCAACTCAAATGTCATAAAATTTTGTTAGATTGAAAAATCGCGGTTTGCACTTTGCAAACGTGTCACTTCATAAAATTTTCAACTTCCGCAATCCGCATTGATTTACCGTTCCCGCCAAAATATCCTACAGAAAAAACATAAACATCGTAATGTAAACAAATAAACTAAACATTTTGTTGAAGATCGTGCATAGTTGCGGTCAAGTCAAAGTGGTCAGACTGCATTAACACGTGCTCAACTTACAGTAAAGACAAATTTTATCGTTGCCATTTGACAGTTTTGGGGTAAAATGAGAGATTTGGGACAACACGTGCATGGACTTTGTAAATAAATTTGCGTCTTGTAAATGGCTTTTCATGGCCAAGATATGGAATTCACGGCTCGGTGAAATTGAATCACGGCTGGCAAATCCATAAAACCACGGCTCGAAAAATTCAGTCGTGGCTCACCAAGTAGATATATTCCATGCCTGCTTCCAAGTGCAACTTTAATCTTCCCATTATTATACCATCTATCTTAACTAAAATTTTTAGACCAAAAAAAAGCAGAGATGGATTAAAAATAATAGTTTATGAACCATCATTTCTAGAAAGTTTTCCATCTTGTTAAAGCTCACTCAAATAGTCAAATTAAAAATATTAGGCAGAAGTTTCCAAAAATTGGAAGTAAAAATCATTGTTTTATGAGTAAATTTCTAAAATTGAAGAAAAAAAATAGGCAATTCTTCTGATTTTTCACTGAAGATACAAGATATTCATATTGCAGAAGGCTAAACAAAACAGTGAAATAAGCCAGATTCACAAGCATTTTTGTCTGATTCATGGGTAGGGTAAACGCGGCATATTCCGACACATTAAGGACGCACCAAGAAATGAAAAACTATAAAAAAAACGTATGCGTTATGTAAGTTCTGTTGCCTTCACATGACTCTCAAAACACTTCACTACGCGTCAGCAACAATGAAACGTCACAAAATGTTGCCATATTTATTAAAAAGCCTTTAGAATGGAAACCTACCAAATCCCTATATTCCGTCACTTTGTGTGGCAATATCCGACACGTGGTGAGTCGTATTGCGTCAGCGCTTCAAATTTAACTGATACGTATTGCCAACATCCACGTGTTCGAATTCCGTTTGCTGTGTGAGCTGTATTGGGATACAACACGGCTTCGAATTAGAACACTAACGAATATTGAACACTACTTAATTACGTTTTAATTAACAGCTATTAGGCTTTTAATTAAGCAAATTTCAATTTTTGTACAAAGCTTTGAACGATCTGTGTGTGTCCAATTCAAGTTGTGTCGGAATTAGTTTTCATGTGTCTAAATCCAACATCTCAACTTAATCATCTATTAATTTATTTATCTAAATGTGTCGGCAAGATCTTCTGAAGGCAAAAATTTTGCCGATAATGCGTCGCCATAGGTCTTTAAATCTTCGTTCACTCTCTGCACAGTGGCATGGAACTAAAACAAAGCTTAATATAAAGGAAAAGCTGGAGAGGTGACGGAATTACCTACGATGTCGGAAACTCGGAATATACCGCGTTTACCCTAGTTTCTGACAAAAAAAGGCCTATTTAAAAAATTTTACAGATAAGGGCTCAATTCATTGCAGATAACAGCCAAAGCAAAATCAAATTAGGTATCATATTCTCATAATTTCATATCATAGGTATTTTATTTGACATTGACATCCCTAATTTGTATACCTAACTAGTAACTATACTACAATTACCTATCATATATATCAATACTCAGCTCAGAGCCTCAGAACTTCAGAAGCAGAAGCCAGAGCCTCAGATTCCCTCAGCTTTGGTTTGAATTTTAAAATATCTATGCTTGGAAGTTAGTATAATAAAAATCAATCTCATCACGACACAATGAGTTTGCAGTTTTCCAAATTCCAATGATTGCAATGAATCCAATCTAGTATGGAATATATCTACTTGGCGAGCCGCGACTGAATTTTTCGAGCCGTGGTTTTATGGATTTGCCAGCCGTGATTCCATTTCTACGAGCCGTGATTCTATTTCACCGAGCCGTGAATTCCATATCTCGGCCATGAAAAGCCATTTACGAGGTGCGAATGCGAATTTATTTACAAAGTTTATGCACGTGTTACCCCAAATCTCTAATTTTACCCTTAAACAGTCAAACGGCAACAATAAAATTTGTCTCTACTGTAAGTTCAGCACGTGTTAATATACAGTCTGACCGCTTTGACATGACCGCAACTATGCGCGATCTTCAACAAACGTTTTGTTTATTTGTTTACATTACGATGTTTATGTTTTTTCTGCAAGATATTTTTGGCGGAAACGGTAAAGCAATGCGGATTGCGGAAGTTGAAAATTTTATGAAATGACATGTTTGCGAAGTGCAAACCGCGATTTTTTAATCAAACAAAAATTTATGACATTCGAGCCGCGAGATTTCATACCTACTGAAATTATATGATATTAGAGCCGCGATATTTCAGACAAAAATAGGACTTTTCCAGACTAGAATCCAATCAAGTCTTCAACTTCAAGTTTCCTTTGTCTAATTTTTCAGTCTAATTCAAATAGCTACAAATTCTGAGATACCTATCAAATACAAATTGTGAGATATGTGATATCAAATTCTGAGTAATAACTTTCACATATCATGGTCACTGGACAAATTATACTTAAAATAAAATAGGATAACATTTAGGTTCAATTGAGCCGGTTTAGTTTGACTCATCAAGTTTGACATCAGTTAAACAAGCCGACAGATTCACGAAACATAATTTGTAAATTATGTAGGCAATTTAATTGATATCAACAATTGTAATTGTCGATATCAACTACAACATGCCAAATTAATGAAAAATTTCTTTGACATTAGAGTATTACATACATTCGGATACTCACGAGTCACACACAAAATACACAAGCTATGAGCGGAACGAATAGTAAGAAAGTAAGAACTGAGCAAAGGAGCTGCCTGTAATACAGAGATGCGTTACAAGACGAGATCTGCTCGGTGAACTGGTGAATACCCTAACCGTCTCGTATGTGTTGAAGTTTGTTTCAACAGAATACTGCAAGAAAATAATTTATTTTGCATAATTTAGGGTGATCTAACATTATTGCTAACTTTTTTAATTTTGAATGCACAATTTAATTCATTTTTTAATGTTACATGAAGGTTAGCGTTACAGATTCAAACATTAGAAAGTATTTTAATACTTTGAATCAAATCAAACAAATCTGGATATGAATCAAAAACAAAATAATGTTTTAAGTTTTAGTTTGTATAACTAATTTAATAACGGATAAATTTCAATATTGAATGTATACATAACATATTCGCTATGAGAAAAATTTGATCATTTAGCTATAACAAATAGATAAAATTTAATAGAGAAAAATTTAGAATTTTCTAGAATTTAATAGAAAAAATAACAGGAACAAACTAGAAACGAAAATTTATATCTGCAGTTCGTATGCTACTTTAATAGATAAAAGAACAGCGACAAACTATAAAGATTAATATATGTAGTTGTATGGTAGCTCGCAAATATTTCTCAGGCCCTGAAAGTTCGTCCCAAAGGTTTCGCTCTGGCATTTCTGTGGATGTTAGCCCAATTGAATGACCAATTTATAAGCCATAGAGCTTAATTGATGTATAAAAAGTTAATTTGCAATTCCATTTTACTCCTCAGTAACAATCACTGCATTGAAGATTTCGGCGCTGCAAAAGGATATTTAACCTCCCAGAAATAAGTAACAATTATTTGATGGTATTAATTCATTATGTAGAAAATAATCAAATAATTGTTCATCTATTTTTTATGATTATCGTGTATAAGGAAGCAGTACCTCTCAAACACTTCTTTGCTCACGAAGAAATGTGTTAAAAAGTATACATTTCTAACTGATGTAACTTTCTCAATACCATAAATATGATTTCAATGCATTGATCCATAAAATGTATTAATTAATTTTCAAATCGTAAAATTGATGAGGCAAATAATCTTAAAGATAATATGAGTTATTGGAGTTTATTTCTTCTATAATGTTAATTAAGCGAATCCATGATGTGACAAAATAAATGTATCGAAATTTCAACTTTTGTTCCTGGCACTGATCTCGTACCTTCATAAGTAACTGGTAACATAACTAAGATAATTACTGACGTAATGGTCACTTCACTGAAGTAGTGGTTATTTCACTGACGTAATGATTACTTTACTGACGTAATGGTTACTTCACATATTCCTCAGTGGTTACTTATCTCACGCGAAGGATATTTCACTGACGTAATGATTACATCACTGAGGTAATGGTCATTTCACAGACTCATTGGTTACATACTGTATCTGACGCAAGTGGTATTTCACTGACGTAATGATTACTTCTGAGATTTAATGGTTACTTCACTAACGAAATTGTTATTTCATTGAATTAATGATTACTTCAGTAATCCAATTGTAACTTCACTGCCGAAATTGTTATTTCACTGCAGTAATGATTACTTCAGTAATCTAATTGTTACTTCAACGACGAAATTGTTATTTCACTGCAGTAATGATTACTTCAGTAATCTAATTGTTACTTCAACGACGAAATTGTTATTTCACTGAAGTAATGATTACCTCAGTAATCTAATTGTTACTTCACTGACGAAATTGTTATTTCGTCAGTGGATTTAATTGTTACTTCACTGACGAAATTGTTACTTACTTGTCTCTGCCATGAAAGTTTTTGCCCACACGCCGGCTCATCTTCGTGACGTCATCGTGTGGCTGCGTGGCTGCGACTGGCTCAGTTCAGCGGCGGCTGCCGTGCAGGTAAGTTGTGTTGTGTGCGTCAGATGTGCCGCTACTTGTTTTTGATGCAGGTGTTTGTATTGTGATAACACACGTACGCAAGTTTGTATTCATGCAGGTGTTCGAATAATGAAAATTTACGAACGCACATTTTTCTAGAATCAGGTGAGCGAACAGTGATAATGTACGTACTAACACCGTAGATTTTTGAGGCAAGAAAAATGTATTTATTTTTTTACGTCGCTTTTGTGAAGCTTTGGCATTCAAAATTTGTAATAATCTGGATTTTTAACAATGCGACAAATGAATTTTGCAGTTTTTGATGCGTGAGCGAAATTTTGAAAATGTTTAATACTATATTTTGGCCGACGTTCATGTTTTTTAATAAACACCAATTCCATTGGATTTGTGATTTTTGATAAAATTTGTGAAATTTTGTAATAATTTTTCATTCTCTGTACCTCGTTGGGGTATGAAGGGTAGGGCGAACTATACTTTGTTATAATTTTGCGTTAAGGGATTAAATCTGTAATTTTTTTGTAAATTTTTCAGAAACTTTGTTAATTGTAAATTTGTGTAAATTTTTCGTAAATTTTTATAAACTTTAAGTTTAGAACTTCAATTATGTGTGAACTTTGGCCTTTTAAAATTTTCATTATAGACTTAAAAGTTTTATGTATAACTCTGAGTTATACAGAGCATCTTGCGCGCCTATTAACTTTACACCGATGAAATGAATTATATTTTGTTCAAAAAGCGATGAATTTCTTGCACTCTTGTGTGTCAGCCTGACCCAGTTTCCCCTGTAAGAAGTATACTCAGAAAAATGTATTAGTCATACTGTCCAAATAGTGACACATTTTATCTGCGTAGCACTGATACGCCATTTTTCTGTGCCAAACTGTGTCAGGATGACCCAAAAAGTGTGTCGATATCCAGACAGCTTCACTTTTTTGCCTGTCTGGCAGAGTGGTCAACCTATGTGATACTTTATACCATAAACTTTCGATAATTTCAATTAATTAATAGTAAATTTAAATAAATTTCTCCCGGAGTTCATCCATGTTCGTTATAACTTATTAGTTCAATTATTTGTCATTATTATTTATTTGTTATTGTTATTTTTCTTTGTTATTTTTTTATTTTTTTTATTATTTGGTATTATTATTCATTATTTCAGTTATTTATTATGTTTTTATTATTAAATGTTAATTCGTGCCGAGCATTCATCGAATGAATGAGTTATTGTTCACATTAATCAGATGGGCACGCTGTATGAGGCAGCTGAGGCTTGCTCGTGCCAGATAATTCAGAATTTTTTATTCATTAATGCTTTATGGGATAGCAGCACGTGATGAATTTCTTTAATTCATTCAGTTTTGATGTGAAATAAGTACATTGAAAATATTTATATTAATTAAGAATTTCTGGGATAGAAACATACGCGGAATATTTGTTTGTATTTTACTCAGCTTCTGATTAATTTATCATAACTCCTTCACTCCCCTCACTCCCCTCACTCCCCTCACTCCCCTCACTCCCCTCACTCCCCTCACTCCCCTCACTCCCCTCACTCCCCTCACTTATTCCTATTACAAAACCAACCTCACTCCCCTCACTCCCCTTTAAAGCTGAGCATTGCCGGCTGCTCCCCAGGAACAGCTTTTGAACTTGGGGAATTTTACATTCATTTTTACAAAGTATAGGGATTTTTTGGCCCCCAAAACAATTAGGAGGGAATTTTCTCAAAAAGTTGAAAGAACGAAAGGTTTTCATTTTCGAATGAAAAATTAATGTGATAAGTACAGTTTAAAATTCAAGAAGAAGAAAATTATTCTCAATGGAATATTTGCAATTTAAGTGAAGTAAGAAATGAATGAAAAGTAGAAATGAATATGATTCAAAATGAGTACAATCTTTACAATGATGAGTCACCTTACAAATTTTTTGACCTTTAAGGCTGAGAGTCGCTGCTTGTAACCGACAGTCAATATGATTATTCAAAAAAATTTTCAGAAAAACGTATGCTGTAAAAAGCAAGCTCCCTTTCTCCAGACATGGACAAAAAATGGTGAAATTTGGAACAGGCAAATTGACATCGCCCTAAAAAATTGTAACAAATTGACAGTAAAATCGGAAAAGTTGAATTGATTTACGTACCGCGAAAGGTTTGATCGCATTTAGCCAGATGCTGTCATTCAAAGTTAGTAATTTTTATCGTAAAGTTTATAGATATAAATAAAACATTTGTCTATGTCACAAAAATTGTATGGTTCAACATTATTGAGGATGCAAGTTTTTTTAACTGCTGTGGCAAAGTTATAGAATTCATCCAGCATATGCGATGCTTAGACTCAAATAATTTACCAGTCACTAATTTGAAACTTACAGTCTTGAGCAGTCCCCGTTTTAAAACTCACAGTCTAGACAGTCCCCGTTTTAAAACTTACAGTCTAGACAGTCCCCGTTTTAGGACTTACAATCTGGACAGTCCCAGTTTTAAAACTTACAGTCTAGACAGTCCCCGTTTTAAAACTTACGGTCTGGACAGTCTCCGTTTTGAAACTTACAGTCTGGACAGTCCCATATTGAAACTTACAGTTAAGACAGTTCCCGTTTTAAAAATTACAGTCTCGCCAGTCCCAGTATTAAGATTTGCTCCATTTCTCACCTTGCAGTCATTACCAGTCTCCTTATTAGGACTTGAAATTGAGACTTGAAGTCTGGCAATGATGCCCGGTGAAAGGGACTTGGTTTGAATGCCTTTAGGCTGGCCTTGGCATATTACACTGTATTATTTTTAATAAAATAAGTATTATTATTTGTTTAAGAAAAATATTTATGGGACTTTTTTATGTTTGACTTGGAGAAGAGCGATATAATAATCAACAAAATAGGAGATTTCGAAATTAACAAAGGAGGCGTGAGAAATTGTAACTAATAATGGATTATTAAATTGCACAATAATTGTTCCATGAACATCATATAATAATAGATTTTTCATCAACGAAATAACTTTAAAAATGTTACAATAAAAGCGAGATAGCAAGAAATAACTTATCTGAATGTTATGATTTTGAAAACTGAATGTTTGCCTATATGAAGGTAAGATTAGAAAAGAAAACAAAGTATTAAAAAAAATCATACTATTCATGAAATGAAATAACGTAAAACACACAGTAAAATAAATT